GGTGGTCAGAACTGTCGCCTCACAGCAAGAAGGTTGCTGGTTCGAGTCCCAGCCAGGTCAGTTGGCATTTCTGTGTGGAGTTTGCATGTCCTCCCTGTGTTGACGTGAGTTGTTTTCTCCCACAAGTTCAAAGACATGCACTATAGGGGAATTGGGTAAGCTGAAATTGTCTGTAGTGTATGTGTGTGAATGAGTGTGTATGGATGTTTCCCAGTCATAGGTTGCAGCTGGAAGGGCATCTGCAGTGTAAACCTAAAGTTGACCTGAAAATTGTGTTTAAAAAAATTAAAAACTGCTTTTATTCTGGCCGAAATAAAACAAATAAGACTTTGACCAGAAGAAAAAATATTATTAGACATACTGTGAAAATTTCCTTGCTCTGTTAAACATCATTTGGGAAATATTTAAAGAAGAAAAAAAAATTCAAAGGGGGGCTTCTTCAACTATATATGTATATATATATATATATGTATATATATATATATATATATATATATATATATATATATATATATATATATGTATATATATATATATATATATATATATATGAGCAATATCACACGAGTAGCAGTGCGATATTGCTGTATATCGGCACTGGTGGGAGGCATGCGTTGGCATGAGGCCGCAGGCCGAGTGCCTTAGTCCCCCCACCAGTGCCGATAAACAGCCATATCGCACTGCTACGAGTGTGATATTGCGTTTATACAACAGTTTGACGGCATAATTGTGTATATAAAACAAAATCAAACACGGAAAGTCTCAAAAACCCTTTTGTATGAGGAACTACTTTCTTCCGGATTGGATTCAAATCATAAGCTGTCAGTTAAACAGCTGAGCAAGCATCTTTTAAACTTTAGATCTGTAGTGTCTGCTTGTTGCTGGCTGTATGTGGGCGGAGTAATACACAAAGGGTGAAGAGGCTATACGGGTGCTGATATTACTTAAATATATCACGGCAATCAGCCAATCAGATTCGAGAACCAGACAGAACTGTTGTTTAAATATATATAGCATCTTAAGCAGAAAGGATGTATACAATTTGAGTTTTTTTTATTTTATTTCTCTATCTACTTACTTTCAGATCCATGTTTAGGAAATATGAAAAAAAATGTTGCTCTCTGTTCAAACTACTCATTTAAAATGAGCAGAAACACAAATGTTGAGATTTTTATTGAGACAACTTAATTGTTTTATGTTCAATCAAGTTACACTACCGGTCAAAAGTTTGAGGTCAGTTTTTTTTATATTATTAAATTTATTGAATAATTTAAATAAAATTATTATGTTCATAAAGGCGGCATTTATTAAATGTAAAAAAAAATCTTAAAATGTGAAATACTTATTTATTAAATATGTATTTATTACTTATTGTATGTTTCCCAGTACTGAGTTGTGGCTGGATGGGCAACTGTGTAAAACATATGCTGAATGAGTTGGCGGTTCATTCCACTGTGGTGTCCCCTGATAAAGGGACTAAGCTGAAGGATAATTAATAAGTGAATACTTATTGTATGTAGTTTCAAATGAAATTATTACGCCAGTCATTACTATTAATAATAATAATAATAACAATAATAATAATAATAATAATAATAATTATTATTATTATTATTATTTTATCGTTATTGTTATTATTATAATAATAATTATTATTATTATTTTGTTGTTGTTGTTGTTATTATTATTGTAGTAATTATTATTATTATTATAATTATAATTATTATTATTTTTGTTGTTATTGTTATTGTTGTTATTATTATTGTAATTATTATTATTATTATTATTATTATTATTATTGTCGTTATTGTAATTATTATTATAATTATAATTATTATTATTTTTGTTGTTATTGTTATTGTTGTTGTTGTTATTATTATTGTTATTATTATTATTATTATCGTTATTGTAATTATTATTATAATTATAATTATTATTATTATTGTTGTTGTTGTTGTTGTTATTATTATTATTATTATTATTATTATTATTATTATTATTATTATTAGAGTAATTTCTGAATCATATGATTCTGAAGACTGGAGTAATAAAGCTAAAAATTAATCTTTAAAATCACTGGAATAAATAATTAAATTAAATTATGATCAACTTTTGAACAGTTATTTTATAGTGCAATAACATTTCACAACTTTACTATTTGTACTGTATTTATGATTAAGTAAATGCAACCTTGGTGAGCAGAAGAAGCTTAATTTTAAAACATTTAACAATCCTACTGACTCCAAACTGTTGATCGGGAGTGTACATTTGTTAATTTAATCCATTTGGTTCTCAATACTGAGTTGCAGGTGGAAGCAGGGGTGGATTAAGTGATTTGGGGGCCCTAAGCAATTCCAGCCATGGGGCCCAAAAGTTCTAAAATGCCCCTTTTGTACTGTAATTCATTTTTAATTGCTTTATTTGGCTGTTTTTTTCATCTTTTATCACTCAGTCACTCCTTTATTACATTTTGTCTCAATGCAAAATAATAATAAAATGTATGCATCTTGTAAAACCTTTTAACCGATTCGTTTTCTTAAAGTGAATTCGCAACTAAAAATGACATATAAACAATTTCTTTTTAAAACTAAATCTTTACCTAATTTGACTGCTGGACTTCTCCATGATTGAGGGTGGGGGATACATTTGCGCAGATGTAATAAACATTAAATCTTTATTTTTTTTGCACAAACATCATGCAAAATATGATAGAAAACGATGTTATATACAGGGGTGTAGCGGATATTATAAAAGTGGGGGGACAGCTGAATGCGATCCAAAATTTGACGTTCATTTTATTATTAATCACCTGTTTCTAAATGGTCTGACTTTAAAAGTGAGGGGGACGTATCCCCCTTGTCCCCCCCTGGTCGCTACGCCCCTGGTTATATATAATTTATAGGTGTAATTTATACTTCTAAATATTTATTTGTGATCCCTCAGATTTCCTGGGACCCTAAGCGGTCGCTTATCTTGCTTATTGGTTAAATCCACCCCTTGCTGGAAGTGCATCCGCTGTGTAAAACATATGCTGGATAAGTTGGTGGTTCATTGTGCTGTGGCGCCGCATGATGAATAAAGGGACTAAGCTGAAAAAAAAATGAATGAATGAATTTATGAATGAATGAATAATCGATTTGGGTTGGGACAACATAAATGAATGGTGTGGAAGCCTGCCTTTTTTACAGTCTATCTAAAAAAATAAAATTTAAAATGTATTTATAATATAATATAATAAAAATAATATATATTTTTTTACATGCAAAGGCTCCGTTTTGCAATTAACAAAACCAAACAATGAAACTAACAGAGACACACCCCCTGATGTCATCTGAAACCCGAAATCCTGGGGCCTGTTTCAGAAAGCAGGTTAAGTTAAAACTCAGAGTATTTTAACCCTGAAATGAGAGAAACTCTGGGTTTTCCGTTTCAAAATGGCAGGTTTGTTAAACTCGAGAAATCAGGGTAAGTCAAGCCTGTTTCTAAAAGAGAGTTAACTTTAACTCAGAGTCAGTTACCGTGGTAACTTACTCTGTGAATCTAACCTGGTCCGGAGCAGGTTTTATTCTCTAAACTCTGAGTTTCTGTTGGTCTCCTCCCCCTTTTTTAAAGATGAAGCGTATTTCTCGCATTAGTCTTACATTTCCACACAGCTATTTTAGAGCTCATTTTGGAGATGTGCATAAAAAAGATTAATGGAAACGTCATGATTCACGTAACTTTTGAAAATACGCATAATATAACATGTGCATAATTGAGTAGGTTAAACTTTTATTTGATAAGATGCACATAAACTACGAAGTGCACTTAACAAATTACAGTATGTACATTAAAAAATGGTTTGTTAGAGATGATGATGAAAATGTTTGTGAAAGGACAAACCAGCAGACTGAGCACACTGCAGAACATCTTAAATGTTGTTTTAGTCATTCTAAAAAGCCTTTACTGTTTCAGTATTAGTGTATATTATTAATTACCTCCGAGTGTCTGGAGCGTGTCAAGATCTCCGCGTCTGGCTTCAAACGCCCCCACGTGTTCATTGTGTGTCAATTGTCTTATGAGGCTCGGGTACATTAATTAAATAAAAAATCATTGATGCTGCTTCTTCTACCGCAGTAATTCTGTTTTTACTGTTGATATTTGGCGCAAGTTAATCAGGAAGTGACGATTGTGTTCTCTTCGACTCTTTGGATAAAAACGCTGCTTTATTTTTAGGCGTTATTCCAGTTTTGCACAAATTTATGTAATAGCCTATATTTTGATGGAAACACAGCTATTGCCTACATTTTTGTCACACACAGAACAAAGTCACGTACGAGGCTTGTCCTTTTTTTTATATAAATAATTAGCTTAACCTTCGACATGCACTGTTACTAGATTAATGGGATTATTATTCTGTCTAAATTATTTTACTACTGCTTACCTTCTTATAAATATGTTATATAAACCTTTATCACTTGATCAATAAAAAGGCAAACACATAACAAGTGCACTGTTAAATCTATTAAAACTGATAAAAGTGTAAAAAGTAAAAAAAAAAAAAGTATAAACGTCACACATTACATTACTTATTTTATTATACTTAAAATGTTTAAATACTTAAAATTAAAAATTACGCATTAACTTGGGCAGCTGTTTTCCCACGCTGTCTCTGTTTCACTGATGGTTGCTTCATTTTAAATATATACACTCATATTTGCTATAACTTTGCATGAGCACATCAAGTTCAGCTGGAAAAAGAAATGTTGATCTCTTTTTTTAAGATGTTGCCATTGTCACTCGTAATGTCTGCGCTCCATTGATAATGTCTTTTTATAGTCACGGTGCGCGCGCTTAACTCTGAGTTGGTCTACTCAAAGTTGATTGACCCAACTCAGATCAGCTGTTCTGAAACCGAAAACTCAGAGTTTTTAATCTCTCGGTAAATCAACTCAGAGTTCAAATTTAAACTCCGAGTTGTTTGAACCTCCTTACTGAAACAGGCCCCTGGAGATTTTCTTGGGCACATTCCTGTCCTTCTGTTCAAGCATTCCTGCAGCTCCACAAACCGGTGACGCGCAAATGAAAAGTTCGCGATTTTATTGAGGCGCGCTCTCAGAAACGGAAGCGGATCCAGATTTGCGCTCTTTTACTGTGTCTGAACGCCGCGTTTTGCACCGAGTCGTGTGTCTGGACGCCGGTAACTCAGCTCGTGTTGTGTCTGAGTTTTGGGCTCGCGTTTGCGATGATGTCTGTGAAGTGTCTGGACGCGGTAAAGCAGAAGATCCAGAGTCTGCAGCGGCAGGCGGATGATGCGCAGCAGCGGGCAAACTTTCTGCACAAACAGCTGGAAAACGAGAGAGATCTGCGCGAGAAAGTGAGATCCTTCTCAAATCGTCTGTCTTTCTGTCTGAGGATTTCTCTTCAGAACTTTGTTGTCACGTTTTTGAGTGAGTGTTACAGCTCGTAGTGTGTTGCTGTTGTCATTGGCACGCTGATTCAGTTTATTTAAAGGGACAGTACAACCGAAAATGAATGATGTCTGTCTTTCTTTCTTTCTGTGTGTCTGTCTATCTTTCTTTCTTTCTGTGTGTCTATCTATCTATCTATCTATCTATCTATCTATCTATCTATCTATCTATCTATCTATCTATCTATCTATCTATCTATCTATCTATCTATCTATCTATCTATCTATCTGTCTGTCTGTCTGTCTGTCTGTCTGTCTGTTTTTCTGTCTGTCTGTCTGTCTGTCTATTTATCTATCTTTCTTTCTGTTCGTCTATCTATCTATCTATCTATCTATCTATCTATCTATCTATCTATCTATCTATCTATCTATCTATCTATCTATCTATCTATCTATCTATCTATCTATCTATCTGTCTGTCTTCTTGTCTGTCTGTCTGTCTGTCTGTCCGTCCGTCCGTCCTTTCATCCAATCCTTAAATAAAATGAAATTACTTTTAATAAATCAAAAAATCAGGCAAAAAAGAGCGCTCTATATAATTTTGCAGCTAAAACAACCATGAATTTCCATGTTTAGTGAGATGAAAATCCTTTATGATTTTTGTGTTACATTTCTATTTTATTGATGCTCCATTTTTTTTTTTTACTTTCACTTTCACAACTTCATTAATGATAATCTGAGGAGATTCTTTACGGATTCTAATAGAATGCATCTTCCAATAGTGTTCTTTTAGGATTCTAATGGAATCCGTCTAGTTCCAAACTGGCATCAGGTTGTTTATTTGTGTATGTGCGTGTGTGCGTGTGAGCGTGTGTGCGTGCGTGTGTGTGTGTGTGTGTGTGTGTGTGTGGACTGGGCACTAAATATACCCACAAGTATAGCAATACCAGTCAATTTTCACCTTGTGGGGACATATTATTTGGCCTCTTTAAGGAAAAAAGCTCATAAATCACACAGAATTAAATATTTATAAATATAAAAATGGAGATTGTTTCTTGTGTGGGTTGGTTTCAGGGGTAGAGTTTTGGGAAGAGGACACAAAATACAGTCCGTACAGTAGACTGTTCTCATAACTATAAGAAGACCCCGTTAAACATAAAAACCCAAAGTGTGTGTGGACTCATACTGGTAATTATCATTTGTGGGGACCAATATTAATACCAGTACATTTTTAACCTAGTGGGGACATTTTTTTTGGCTTATAAATCACACAAGAATGTAACATTTGAAAATGTAAAAATGCAGATTGTTTTTTGTGAGGGTTGGATTTAGGGGTAGAATAAGTGTAATGTAGTTAAAATACAACCAGTTACATAGACTTAAGCATTCATTTAGTTGATTAAGCGTAGAATGAGATGAAAGACTGTGTAGACTGGGAAGAGAATACAGTCTGTACAGTATAAACATCCTTATAACTATGTAAAGACCCCGAAAACATAGAAACCCAATACGTTTGTGTGTGTGTGTTCAGGCTGAAGGAGATGTAGCAGCGTTGAACCGCAGGATTCAGCTGGTGGAGGAGGAACTGGACCGAGCTCAGGAGAGACTGGCCACTGCGCTTCAGAAACTAGAGGAGGCTGAGAAAGCAGCCGATGAGAGCGAGAGGTCAGTGCAAACACACATTCATTCATTTTTCTTTCGGCTCAGTCCCTTATTTATCAGGGGTCGCCACAGCGGAATGAACCGCCAACTATTCCAGCATATGTTTTCAGCAGCGGATGACCTCACTTTAACATTCACACACGCTGTGTTTGGACTGTGGGTAACTGGAGCACCCGGAGGAAACCCAGGCGAACGCGGGGAGAACATGCAAACTCCACACAGAAACGCCAACTGGCTAACCAGTGACCTGTAACAAGTGCACTTTTAAATCTGTTAAAGCTGATCAACGTCTATAAAAGCTAATAAAAACGTCACATAAATACTTAAAAATACTTTAAATGTAAAATAACGCACTAACTTGAGCAGCTGTTTTCCTGCGCTAACCGTCTCTGTTTCTCTGATGCAGTGGTTTTCCTTTTTAAATATATGCTCATATTTGCTATAACTTTGCATGAGCAGATCAGGTTCAGCTGAAGAAAGAAATGCTGATCTCTTTTTTAAGATGTTGCCATGGTGACTCGTAGTATCTGCGCTCCATCGATAATGCCATTTTATAGATGCAGTGAGTGCGCTTAACTCTGAGTCGGTCTACTCAAAGTTGATTGACCCAACTTAGATCAGCTATTCTGAAACCGAAAACTCTGAGTTGTTAATCTCTCGGTAAATCTGCTCAGAGTTCAAGTTTAAACTCCGAGTTGGTTGAACCTCTTAACTGAAACAGGCCCAATATGTTTGCAGATATTTCAGAAACATGCCAAGTGGACATTGTGTAACAAATCATGCATACAGTGTTTAATTGTATCTGGAAGACAGTTATGTTTTGTTTTACATTCAGAGGCATAAAGGTGATCGAGAACCGCGCCATGAAAGATGAGGAGAAAATGGAAATTCAGGAAATACAGCTGAAAGAGGCCAAACACATCGCTGAAGACTCCGACCGCAAATATGAAGAGGTCAGACGAGTGTTTCATACACTTTACTGATACTTTCTGATTCAGATGTCTTTACAGGTGTGTGTATATGTGTTTATAGGTTGCCCGTAAGCTGGTGATTCTGGAGGGGGAACTGGAAAGAGCAGAAGAAAGAGCAGAGATCGCAGAACTGTTAGTACATTATCTTTAAATAACGGAAAATGTTCAAATCAATATTTCAGCAATACCCAGTTAACATATATATATTTTGTATATTTATGTATATATATATATGTATATATATATATATATATGTATATATATATATATATGTGTGTGTGTATGTATATATATATATATATATATATATATATATATATATATATATATATATATATATATATGTATGTGTGTGTGTATATATACATATTTTTTTCATTTATGAGGAAAAAGCATCGTTATGTATGTGACATCTCTGCGTTATGGATGTGACATGTGAAATTGCCACTTGTGTGACTTTGGTAATTCAGTTAAAATAGTTTAAAAACAAGAACAGATGCATTGTTGAGTATTTCTAAAGTACTGTAAAATACTTGCTCACACAAAAACTTGGTTTGGTTTCCATATTTTGGTGAAAACTTTATTTTTTTTCATGGCAAGGTTGACATTTGCATGGAATTGCTCATATTCAACAGTCTTATTGACACTGGAATAAAAGAGTTTTTGAATCTGTTCCACTTTCATCGGGGGAATCTCCAGTCAGATTGTAAAATATCATAGCAAGGGTAAAGTACATGGGGTGGGTTGCTCAGGATAGTTTTTTCTCATTTAGTGTACATTGTTTTTTGTTTTTTACAGTAAAGGTGGAGATCTGGAGGAAGAGCTGAAAAATGTAACCAACAACCTCAAGTCTTTGGAAGCCCAATCAGAAAAGGTGAGTCAGCTGACTGATGACCCATAATTCAATGGGGCAGAGTGGATTTCTGTGCAAATTGGTTATAAATGCATTCTTGTGCAAGTCGTCAAATTGAATAGGATGTGATGGTTCAAGTGAGAGGGCTTTTGCTTGAGTTTCATGAATGAGGCTCATTGTATTGAACAAACATATAGGGCCCTATCACACACTCGGCGCAAGGCGCGACGCAATTGTTGTTTACTAGTTTCAGCTTGGTGCAAGAGTCAGTATGATGTTGTGGTGTTCTGGGGCCTCATGTACGAAGACTTGCGTGGAAATCATACTAAAACATTGCGTACGCACAAAGCTGTGAATGTGTGTACACAGAAAAAAATTCAGATGTATGAAACACTGCGTACTCCGAATCCCACGCATATTCTTTTGTACATCTGAATGAACGTGAAACTGAGCGCAACATGCACGAGCACAAAACCCCTCCCTGCCTCCTCCCCCGTATGAATATGCTAATGACTCTACTTTGGCAAAACCCAACGAAAAAGCAATGGCAAAAGCAAGCAAGAAGAGAAACTTTGAACAGAATGTGAGTTGGAGTTGCTGCTTTCGGAGGTAGACCAGAGAAAAGTGGTGTTATTTACAAGTTTGTCCTCCGGAATTAACAACAAAAGAAAAAAAAATAGAGTGGGAGAGTTTAGCTGATGCGGTGAACACAGTTAAGTCTGAACATCGCACTGTGGAGTTAAAAGACAAATAGTGTGATTTATAGCTGTAAAATGTTGCAGTACCGTCAACAGTCTCAGTGGCGCAGCTCGTAAAACGCACGTAAACATGTTTTGACACATTCGAGCATGAACTTGGCGTCTGATTCTGATCGAATCCAGCGTCTGATGAACTCACTCTTTTTTTTTTCCCGCTACATATCAGATTTTGCCAACTATTTATCACGAGAAAGACAAGTAGGAATCATTAATAAGTCTGTGCATCATATTTTATTTGCACATTTATTGAATGGAAATGTTTCTGATTCACGCATGCAAATTCATCTGTTTCATCAAATTCATCAATTGCCGGTAATTTTCCGGAAAGGTCTGTATGTGTGAAAGGGGCTAAAGCTGGTGTGGAGCTGCGCACATTCCCACGTTCAGTTCATCGTTAGTAAATCCAAACGTGAGCGATTCTGAGCGTGAAACCTGGCGTACGCAAAGTTTTTGTGCGTACGCAGCGTTGATACATGAGGCCCCAGGTCTAATTGAAATCATAATAAAACATTGCGCAACCACAAAGCTGTAAATGTGCATACGCAGTAAAAAGTTAAGATGTATGAAACACTGCGTACGCCGAATCCCATGCATATTCTCTTTGTACATCCGACTTAATGTGAAACTGAGCACACGAGCATGAGCGCAAAACCCCTCCCTGCCTCCTCCCCCGTGTGAATATGCTAATGACTCCACTTTGGCAAAACCCAACGAAAAAGCAAGCAAGCAAGAAGAGAAACTTTGAACAGAATGTGAATTGGAGGTGCTCCTATCTGAGGTAGACCGGAGACAAACTGTGTTATTTGCAACCCTGCTAAAAAGTCCTAGGCTGGTTTAAGCTGGTTGTTTTAGAGGGTTTTGGCCATTTCCAGGCTGGTTTCCAGCCATTTCCAGCCTGGTCTTAGCTGGTCAGGCTGGGAGATGACCAGCTAAAACCAGCTTGATCAGCCTACCCAGGCTGGGAGCCCAGCAAAAACCAGCTATGTCCAGCTTAAACCAGGCTTGTCAAGTTCTATTATAGTTTATGAATATTTTAAATGGTCATTTTTATTCATTTATTTATGTATTTTTTAAGGCTGTGTCTGCTATTTTAGTACATTATGGTTAACTAAATATTTCCTTGGCAAGGAGCTGAACTAAAACATTTTATTGTGTCATTTTCTTGTTCAGTGGTTAATCTGTTAACCTTTCATTTGATTTTGTGTTTGCAGTATTCAGAGAAAGAGGACAAATATGAGGATGAGATCAAAGTTCTGACTGATAAACTGAAAGAGGTGGGCAAGTTAACCTAAAACAACTGTGTATTCTAATAGTTGTGCATGCAAGTCTTTCATGTAGGCATTGCAAACGCGCAGTGTCATTTACATACTCTTAAAAAGGTCAAGTCAGCAAAGAATTACATTAAAGAAAGCCGACAGTGTAAAAATCACTACTGAAGTAACAAACTTTAGCACTCTAGGGGGCGGTAGAGTTTCCTTCAAATGCCTGTTGCAATAAAGGGATATTTCACCCAAATATTTTAGTTTACAGTTAATTTACTCATCTGCAGGCCATTAAGATGTAAGCGATATTTTCTTTTTCTTCAGTGAAATATTAAAGATTTTTTTTTAGCTGGGTTGGTATGGAGCCAGATCAGTCTCAAAAATAATATATTTACAAAATAAAACTCATACAGGCACAGCAGAATTCACATTCGCAAAATCCAATATGTAAATTTGTAAACACACAATTCGTGAATTCACAAGTAGGATTTGCGATTTATGAATTGGATTTTGAATTTACGAATTGGATTTGCGGATTTACAAATCGTGTTTTAAATTTACAAATTGGATTTGAGCGTTTAGGAATCGTGTTTTGAATTAACTAATTTAATTTTGAATTTATGAATTGGCCTTGTGTATTTACGTATAATGTTTTGAATTTACAAATTCCATTTCCACATTTATGAATCGTGTTTTGAATTTACTAATTTGATTTGTGTATTTACAAATCATGTTTTGAATTTATGAATTGGATTTGGGTATTTACGAATCGTGTTTTGAATTAACGAATTGGATTTGGGTATTTACGAATCGTGTTTTGAATTTATAAATTGGATTTGGGTATTTACGAATCATGTTTTGAATTTACGAATTGGATTTTGTGTATTTACAAATCGTGTTTTGAATTTATTAATTGGATTTGCGCATTTACGAATTGTGTTTTGAATTTATGAATTGGATTTGCGTATTTACGAATTGTGTGTTGAATTTATGAATTGGATTTGCGCATTTACGAATTGTGTTTTGAATTTATGAATTGGATTTGCGCATTTACAAATCGTGTTTTGAATTTATGAATTGGATTTCTGTGTATTAAATCGTGTTTTGAATTTACGAATTGGATTTGTGTATTTACAAATCATGTTTTGAATTTCTCAATTGGATTTGCGTATTTACGAATTGTGTTTTGAATTTATGCATTGGATTTGCGCATTTACGACTTGTGTTTTGAATTTATGAATTGGATTTGTGTATTTACAAATCGTGTTTTGAATTTATGAATTGGATTTCTTTTTATTGAATTGTGTTTTGAATTTACGAATTGTATTTGTGTATTTACAAATTGTGTTTTGAACTCACGTATTGGATTTTGTAAACGTGAATTGCGTTGTACTTGTATACATTCACTCACCCTCAAGTGTGGTGGCACGGTGGCTCAATGGTTAGCACTGCCGCCTCGCAGCAAGAAGGTCGCTGGTCCGAGCCCTGACTCAAGTCAATAGTTACAGGTTTTTCAGCATTCTTCAAAATATCTTCTTTTGTGTTCGACAGAAAAAAGAAACTTAGACAGGTTTGTAAAGTGAAGGATGAGTAAATGATGACAGAATAATTTTTTTGGGGTGAATTATCCCTTTAAGGATCTACATTCTTCCATGGCCTGAGGGTAAATTAACTGTACAATTTTATTTTTGGATGAACTGTCCCTTTAAATCAAATCTATTTTTATTTACATCTAATTTAAAGGAGACTTATTATTTAAAAACAAATCACATTTATAAGGGGTTTAAACACACACTATGCACTATGCACACTATAAGTGGTTTATAATGGTAAAAATGTAGTAATTAAAATTTTTATTATCATACTTGATACAAACAGTCTGCAGAACACTTTGATGGACATTCTCCCGTTGTGCATGTCATCAGAGGGGAAAAGCCTTGCCCACTAGTGAAAATCTCTCCCACATCAGCATTTGATATTAGTCTTGTTTTTGAATCTGCCACTATGCTGACACATAAGCATTTGTAGCTCCGCCCTCTTTTTTTGCACAATCTCATTTGCATTTAAAGCGACAGTTACCAAAACACCACAATTAGGATCAAAGCCTAAAAGGGTCTATTTCAGAGAGTTATAAAACATTATTTATGTGGTATTTTGAGCTGAAACTTCATATGCACACTCTAGGAACATCAGAGACCTATTTTACAGCTTGTAAAAAGGGCCATAATAGCTTTCCTTTAACAAAGCTATGAGAATATTTCAGGCAAATCTTTCTGGTTTCCCCCTCCGCAGGTTGAAACGCGTGCAGAGTTTGCAGAAAGGACTGTGGCCAAACTGGAAAAGACCATTGATGATCTGGAGGGTAAGTCAGTGCTGAGGAAAGCTGAGGAATTCCAGCTGATGACATCACTAATGGCGTCTGCTGGAATTTGACCTTTGCCCTATTTGTCTGCGTGCGGCAGCTAGTCCAGCTTTATTTCTCTATTCATTGCTCAGCTCTAATTATGCCAGCATGTTTGACCCGCTCAACTTGTTTTCTAAACCGATTCTGCACCATAGATTTGACCATTAACCTGTAGTCACTATGACACTGTTGTTGTCTGCGTAGCTGGTTTTAATAATTGGTTAATTTTGCAGCACAGGTTGATTGGATATTTAGACGTTATCCTACATGTACAGTTGAAATCTAAATTATTAGCCCTTATTTCTTTTTCAAAGATTTTCCAAAGGATGTTTAACAGAGAAGAGCATTTTTCACAGTATTTCCTTAAATATTTTGTCTTCTAAAGAAAATCTGTTTTATTTCAGCTCAAATAAAAGCAGTTTACATTTTTTAAAAACCATTTAAGGGGCAATGTTATTAGCCCCTTCAAGCAATGTTTGTTTTGATTGTCTAGGGAACAAACCGCTGACTTGCCTAATTACCCTAACTTGCCTAGTTAAGCCTTTAAATGTCACTTTAAGCTGAATACTAGTGTCTAATCAAATATCTAGTTAATTATTAAGTGCTGTCATCATGGCAAAGATAAAAGAAATCATTTATTAGGAATGAGTTATTAAAACTATTGGGCTCTATTTTATCTATCTAGGCGCAAAGTCTAAAGCGCAGGGCGCAAAAGCATTAAGAGCGTGTCTGTATCCACTTTTGCTATTTTTAGGATTAAAGAATACGCTCTGTGCCCTGGTGCATGGTCTAACAGGGTTGAGCTTATTCACTTAATGAGTTCTGGGTGTGTTTTGAGCATAACGTGCATTAAACCAATCAGAGTCTCATCTCACATTCGCTTTAGGAGTCAGTTGTGTCGCACCATGGCACATTTGCTATTTACATGACAGAATTTGTAAGTGTAAAAACTGAACGCTTCATTTGCGAAAAAACAATTAAACAGAGCATCTGCAGCACGACGATAAAGAACAAGCCTCCTTCATTCAGCCTCTTTACTGTCTCTTTCTCTTTACTCCTTTACTTTTGTGGAAACGGTGGAAACTCACTCTACTGAAGACATACATTAGCCGACATATTTAATTATTATTTTTTTTTGTTAAGTGCAAAGATTAGTTTCAAAACTATTTCTCAATTCAGCTCTAATTTCCAGCAAACTAATACATTAACAATAATAATGAAGTGTCAAAAAACACAGTCTAAACACAAGTCCTGTTCTTATGATGAGGCAGACGTCTCAAAAACCTGACAGGTGAACAAATCTAAACTTATTTTGAATAAAACAAATAAAATATGCATGTAATAAATAAAACTGCTAATAATAATGACATTATACATAAACAAATTGTCATAAATGAAAATGCCCCCCGAGATGGAGAAGCCGTGTAGGCAGTCGTTTTTATAATTATCGAAAAAATAATAGGGCTGCAACAACGAACCGATAAAAATCGATTACTAAAAGCCTTGGCAACAATTTTCATAATCGATTCGTTGTGTTGAGCGACACGGGGATGTTTGATTTATTAAATAAACACTTTAGTTTAGCACGGAGCGGAGTGAACACGGTCTCTCTCGTGCACTGATACAGAGTTCGGCGCCTTATAGACAGGAATGAGGATGAAGTTCAACAGCAGGGTAAATCCCTACAGAATCCTACTTTTGTTCCGTTTTGAAGTGAGGACCGTAAAGTCCCTGGTTCTGGTGTTTTACTCGTTATCCAGCTTGACAAGCATGACAAGTTAGCATTAGCTTGTTTACCTTTAGAGTGGTAACTGAAAAAATCAAACTGAGCTTTGGCACAGTGTCTAGCGCCGAGGCAGAGAGAGCTCGCTCTAAGCAGAGCTCTCAGTAAGGGACCGTCGGAAAAGTGCTTCTTATTTTCCTTTTTTTTTTCCGAAAACGAAACCAACTTAACCCCTTCTGGAAAAGACATGTCATATTATCACAATTATGTAGCATTTAATCCGCCTAATGCTTAATTAATGTTTTAGACATTTAAATACGCACAAGTACTAGTAAAAAACCCATTTAGAGTTTGTAAAACACACAAGGAAGTCTAACAATACATTCAAATATAATTTGCAGATGTGTTTTATTCACATCATACACATAGTGCAAGTAACTAAAAAGTTACAGTAAAGTTAAAAATCTTTCTCTAAATTCACCAGCCACTTATTTGCATGTATTTTGGGAGTAACTGATGAATTTACGCGCTGAATCCTGCGTGTTCTGCTTTTTATGAATGAGGCAAACGTGCGGCCACAAGTAAACATGGCGACGACCGTCTCACGTTATAGATCACGATCACTTACACGTTTATGTGAACTGGTAAAACTTCTGTTTGAGATTATATCTCATTCAGATTATTTTTCTTATACAATTCACAAATAATTTAGCTTGTTTTAAGCAAATAATCACTTAATTTTGAGGTGTGACATAATTTCTTATGCTACTTCATGTGTCTAGTATGTATCTTGATTTAAAAATATTTAGATATTTGGATTAAAAACAAGACAAAACTACTTTGTTTATTATTATTATTATTATTATAACAGCTCAGGGATGAGCTTTTTTGAATAAACGGTTGGAAATTATTGGTTTTTTTTACCTGATTCATCGATTAATCGAAGAAATAATCGACAAATAATCGATTATTTAAATATTGGTTAGTTGCAGCCCTAAAAAAAGAATCATTTTTGCAACATTTTAATCCTTTAATTGTTTTCATCTGTAAAGATATTTGTGTATTGCTCTACATCCTAAGCAATGTGTACGCGTTTGAACCTGCATAAGCGCATAACTAACACACTCTGTGCTGGACTTTAGAGCAGCTTTTAATTGGTCAGTGGTGCGGACTATTTTTGTTCTTCAAAATAGCAATGCACCAACAATGCACCTTAACACACCTCCTTTTCGGAGCAGTACACCCGTGAGTCCACAAAGTGGCGCAATGGATTTGCTATTTAAACAACATGGCAAAAAAAAAGTTAAAATTAGCTGCTCTGAAAATAGTAACCAAGCGTGCCAAACACATCTTGCGCCTTATTGCACCGGGTGTATGATAGGGCCCCTTATGTTTGGAAATGTGTCAAAAAATCTTTTCATTAAGTAAAAATTGGGGGAAAATGTACGCGTGGCTAATAATTCTTACTTTAACTGTATTTACATTATTTTCACATTATTTCCTGTTTCTTTCATTCCTTTAAATCTTTTAACACTTCCTCTGCTTTTCCAGTATGTAGTAAAGTTTCTAGTAATCTTACTAATTTAGTAAACTGCCTATCTAGTATGTTTGACCTTACTGTTTCCTTTCTTTTTCTCCCTATAATTTCCTGATCCTGCGTTCTCAATCCTCTGCCCTCCTTTCTCCACTGCAGATGAACTTTATGCACAGAAGCTGAGATTTAAGGCCATTAGTGAGGAGCTGGATCACGCTCTCACTGACATGTCCTCCTTATAAGATTATATTATACATTATGAGTGCCTATAGATGGTATTTGGTCAGGACAAACAGTTTGTACTGATATGCTGAATTATAACTGAATCAGAACTGTGATTGACAGCTCTCTCTCGTTCAATCAAGTGCTGCTGATTTGCATAAATTAGTCTGCAGCTTCCTGATTCTCTCTTCCTCACTGGTGCCTTGTGTATGTCTGTCACTCTCTCTTAGTTTGGATATTAAACTTTAATAAACATGTTTTCTGCTCTTTGAACTTTCTCACTTGTTCTTTTTTCTTGCTTTTCTTTCTTTTTTTCCTGCCGTCTTTGCAGCTCTTTTTGTTAAAAAGTGACAACAACAATGTTATTATACATAATCATTCATATTATAATTCATATTTCATATTTGTTACTATTATATTCATTCATTTTCTCAGTCACTTTATCAATCTGAGGTCCCCATAGCAGAATGAACCGTCAATTTATCCAGCACATGTTTTATGCCGCGGATCCCCTTCCAGCTGCAACCCATCACTGGGAAACATCCATATACACTCATTCACACACATACACTACGGCCAATTTAGCTCATTCAACTCACCTGTACCGCATGTCTTTGGACTTGTGGGGAAACCGGAGCACCCGAAGGAAACCCAGGCGAACATGGGGAGAACATGCAAACTCCACACAGAAACGCCAACTGACCCAGCTGCCAACTTATGAAGAATATGCTTATGAACTGCCAACTTATCCAGCATATGCTTTACGCAGCTTTACTTCCAGCTGCAACCCATCACTGGGAAACAGCCATACACACTCAATCACATACATGCACTACGGCCAATTTAGCTTACCCAATTCACCAACAGCGCATGTGTTTGAACTTGTGGGGGAAACTAGAGCACCCGAGACTCGAACTAGTGACCTTCTTGCTGTGAGGCGATTGTGCTACCCACTGTGCCACCCCGTCGCCCACTCATTAATTTAATTAAAGTAACTCATTTATTTTAATGGCGACACGGTAGCTCAATTGTTAGCACGGTCGCCCCACAGCAAGAAGTTCACTCGTTTGAGTCCCGACTGGGTTAGTTGGCATTCCTGTGTAAATAGCACATGTCTCTGTACTGTGGGGGAATCCGGAGCACCCGGAGGAAACCCAGGCCAACACGGGGAGAACATGCAAACTCCACACAGAAATGCCAACTGACCCACCCAGGACTTAAACCAGCGACCTTCTTGCTGTGAGTTGACAGGGCTAACCACAAAGCCTCCGCGCTGCCCTCAACCCCATAAAACATAACATAAATCTAGTTTATTACACCTGTGTTTGACTTCTTTTTTTAAAAGATTTATTTATTAGATTTTTATGACAGTTAACAAACAAAAGTAAAAAGAGACAATAACTGTACAAACATTAAAAAAAATATATATATACATATATATATATATATATATATATATATATATATATATATATATATATATATATATATATATATATATATATTACACACTGCTTAATATGCACAAGAGAGCAATAGGCAAATATCTTTACATATGAAAAAAATAAATATTAAGGATGTATATATAGGATATAATAAGAATAGATATAGGATATAAATATAAAGGATTAAAATATTACAAAACATATTATTTTCTAGCCTACACTATGAAAAATCACTGCTTTTATGTCTTCTTCATCTAGGGAGGCTTTTTCAGTTAATTCATAACAATTTGCTTTTGTATAATGTTATTATTATTAGCAGTATTATTTATTATATCCATATTTATATTTGTTTTATTAAAATAAGCTTAGATTTGTCCACCTGTCAGGTTTTAGACCATAAGGGGCACAGCATGTGTTTTAAGATATAACTCAGGTTTTTGAGCACATTTTGTTATTATTCATTTATTCGTTTGCTGGAAATTAGAGCTGAATTTAGAAATAGTTTTGAAACGAATATTTGCGCTTAACAAACAAAATTATTTATTTATAGACTAATTGATGTCTGTGCGTAAAGGTTTCCCTATCCAAGAGCGAAAGTGAAAGTGATCCATTATCTCTCATTCTCACGCAGCAGATGCTGTTTAACAGTTTTCTGTTAAAAAACTGTGAACTGTTTGCTTGTGAAATGCTCATTTTTTCCACTTAGACTTGCTTTGCGTCTTGTAAATAGCGAATGCGCTCTTGGCGCGACGCAGCTGCTCTTAAAGGGAATGGGAGATGAGACTCTGATTGGTTTATTCTCAAAACACACCTATAACTCATTAAGAAAATAAACTCAACCCTTTTAGACCATGCGCCACAGCGCAAGGCAGATTTCCCGTCCTTAAATTAGCAAAAACGCGTCCTGACACGCCCTGAAAGCGTTTGCGCCCTGCGTTTTGCGCTCTGCGCATGGACCGTCAAAATAGAGCCCAATGTGTTTGATTTCTGTAGCCACATCTAGGCCTAATTACTCCCACACAAGTTCGCAATCAAGAAATCACTTAAATATGACCTGCCTGACAAAGTGAAGTAGACCAAAAGATCCTCAAAAGCTAGACATTGCGCTAAGATCCAAAGAAAGCCAAAAACTAATTGAGAAAGAATTATAATTGACATTTATATCTATATGTTTTACTGCAAAATGTATTCATTAAAACAAAATAAAAGCCATCTTACTAGCAGTTATAATCCATGGGAAGGAGCAGGTTTGTATTTACGAACATTTTCCTTTTTCCTTTTCACATAAGTGCTGTTCATCATTTTCATTATCGAATCATAAAATACATGTCAGTCGTGACTTTTAATGCTGTTTTATTTCAGAGTCTCTGGGTGAGGCGAAACAGCAGAACCTGGAGATGCATCAAGTGCTGGATCAAACACTCCAAGAGCTCAACAGCTTATGAACAAACAACACGAGTAGTAAACACATGGAGAAAGAAAACTTCCACAGTCATTCCAGCAGTTTCATCTGCAGCCTCTTTTGTGTTTTTCCTTTTGTGTGCTGTAGGTATGTTATTTCAGTCCGTTGTTGTATCGTAATCTTTTGATTCTTTTCTAAAGCTCCTATTTAGTCGGTTACATGTTACTTTTGTCCCATTTGTATGTAAAATACACTATAGCCAATGTGTTAAAGGGCCATGAAACCCCCTCGTTTCAGCAGGGTGTTTTCACACCTCTACTTTGGAAAAAGTCAGAAAAGTGGGCGTGTCCAGCTCTGTTTAGGGGGGAGTGTCGGAGGAACTAAAGTGGGATGGTGTGGGAGTGTCTATTTGTGCACGCGCGAGTTTTCAGAGTCAAAATACACCCACACAGACAGGAGAAAGTGATGGTGTTTAACCTACATGGACATCTGTAGTCGAATTATTTGCTGAATTATTAAAGGGTGGACTTTAACTGCAGTTTGGCTCTTTCATTCAGGGAATTCATTCATGCCCCTCGCGACAAACGAGATATTTGATTCGAGGAACTGCTGCAAGCGTGTATTTTTCATGCAATGTTTGATACCGCACGGCAAATGAGAGAAAAAAAAAACTCCGCATTTCCCGGAAACTTAGATGCACACGACAGGTTGCGTCAGAAAGCTGCGTGTGTTATTCCGGTCACTAAATGCGGTGCTAACATTTCTGCACTCAGTGCAATAGTTAACTTAATTCGATACAAACAAACTGAATAAACAAAGAGCACTGGTCGCTCACTTACCAAATCTGTAGAGACAGAACAATCACCAGCAACTAGAGCCGCGTCTTTATGAAGAGAAGACTACAAGCGAATCCAGATCTCAGCGTTTGCAGATGAGAACAGCTCTCAGGTAAACAATAATCCTCCTTAGACACGCAAGTTATTGTTGTCGAGCGTCGCATACACTGTTAATCCACACGTGATCCAGATAAGCTCTCACAGAGAGAAAATGAAAACGAAACTTACGGCAGCAAACTATAAAAGCAACACTTCACGCTTGTTTTGCCAACACAACGTGGCGTCTTTGTGGTGTAAACACGGTGACACAAATGAATATTAATGAAGTTGCACAATAGAGCGCGCTGATTGGTTTGAACCAAGCCTTACTCATGCATTAATGCATCACACTGTAATAAGTAATAAGACACACTCTGGCACAGACGTCCAGTCTGCACGCTGGAATACACGCTATTATGTCATGACCGTGACGCAGCTTCAAAAATTCGTTTCAAACAGGAAGTAGGAATTTGCTTGAAATAACGCAAAAACAACCAATTTACACTTTTTAGTGAAATATAGGTGTCCTAATAGTGTTTTTAGCAGTGTGGGACACATATACGACTGTCAACAGCTCAAAAAATGTGTTTTGGTGTTTCGTGACCCTTTAAAGGTGTTTTTAGGTCATTTTGGACAAAGATAAAACCCAAATGTTTCAATCTTTTCATTTTTTTGCGAGTCAGTCTTCTGTGTAGGGCCATTTTTGCTTTATTTATTAGTTCTGAATGAACTCAAAGGAGGAAGTTATGCTTAAAACAGTGAAACTGCAATAACAAATCTCAGTACTGTCAGGGGTGTAGTGGACATTTTAAAAGTGAAGGGGTCCGCTGTATGAAATCCAAAAGTTTACATTCTCAATCATCTGTTTCTAAATGGTCTGTCTCTAAAAGTGCGGGGGACTTGTCCCACCTGTCCCCCCCCCCCGGTTGCTACACCCGTGTGTACTGTTACTGCTATAGTACTGTTACTTAGTAAATCATATTGTAGTTGTGATATTGGGAAACATACTGTATAGGAATGAACCAAAAGAAAAATCACAATGAAGGTATTATTTGTTTGAATATACAGATTTCTTGAACTGTTTTTAATAATTAATAAGTCTTGATAATTAGTTGGTTATTTAGTGGGACCTTTTTGTACACATGGTGCCTGTAAGGCCTGTTTAACTGTTGTTTTATACCCATATTAAACTCAATAAATGTTTACTTATTTGTACACATCCTTTTATTCAAGATGAATTCATTTATATTTGGAAAATGACACTTTGTTGATGTTGTCGGGGGACTTTTTCCAATATATACACTCAGCGGCCACTTTATTAGGTACACCTTACTAGTACGCGGTTGGACCCTTTGCTCCATATTGACATGATAGCATCGCGCAGTTGCTGCAGATTTGTCGGCTGCACATCCATGATGCGCATCTTCCATTCCACCACATCCCAAAGGTGCTCTATTGGATTGAGGTCTGGTGACTGGGGAGGCCATTTGAGTACAGTGAACTCATTGTCATTTTCAAGGAATCAGTCTGAGAGGATTTGAGATGACTTTATGACATGGCGCGTTATCCTGCTGGAAGTAGCCATCAGAAGATGGAGACACTGTGTTCATAAAGGGATGGACATGGTTAGCGATAATACTCAGGTAGGCTGTGGCGTTGACACAATGCAATTGGTGCTAATGGGCCCAAAGTGTGCCAAGAAAATATCCCCCACACCATTACACCAACACCACCAGCCTGAACCGTTGATACAAGGCAGGATGGATCCATTCTTTCATGTTATTGACACCAAGTTCTGACCCAAACATCCTAATGTCGCAGTAGAAATGGAGACTCATCAGACCAGGCAACGTTTCTCCAATCTTCTACTGTCCAGTTTTGGTGAGGCTGTGTGAATTGTAGCCTCAGTTTCCTGTTCTTAGCTGACAGGAGCGGCACCCGGTGTGGTCTTCTGCTGCTGTAGCCCATCCGCCTCAAGGTTGGACGTGTTGTGTGTTCAGAGATGCTCTTCTGCAGAGCTCGGTTGTAACGAGTGCTTATTTGAGTTACTGTCGCCTTTCTATCAGCTGGAACCAGTCTGGCCATTCTCCTCTGGCATCAACAAGGCATTTGCGGCCACAGAACTGCCGCTCACTGGATATTTTCTCTTTTTCAGACCATTCTCTGTAAACCCTAGAGATGGTTGTGAGCGAAAATCCCAGTAGATCAGCAGTTTCTGAAACACTCAGACCAGCCCGTCGAGCATCAACATCCATGCCACATTTAAAGTCACTTAAATCCCCTTTCTTCCCCATTCTGATGCTCAGTTTAATTTGCAGCTGATCGTCTTGACCATGTCTACATGCCTAAATGCATTGGGTAGTTGCCATGTGATTGGCTGATTAGAAATTTGAATTAATGAGCAGTTGGACAAGTGTACCTAATAAAGTGGCCGGTGAGTGTGAAAAGTAACACTTTTTGCCATAAATGTTTTTAGTTTAGTATACTAAAACCATAAAAATACATAATCTAAATATTTAATGTTGATTTAAAAACAACTAAATTATTAAATTGACAACATAAATAAAAAATATATATGTATTATGTAATATGGGCTAAGTTGTCTAGTGTATGAGTGTGAATGAGTGTGTGTGGATGATTCCCAGAGATGGGTAGTGGCTGGAAGGGCATCAGCTGCGTAAAAACGTGCTGAATAAGTTGGTGGTTCATTCCACTGTGTAGACCCTGGATTACTAAAGGGACTAAGCTGAAAAGAAAATGAATGAATAAATGTTTATTAAACTAAAACCATAAAAACACGTCATAAAATATTTTATATTGAGTTTAACACTTCTAAACATTTTAAATTGACATAACATATTCTATTCTATTCACATTTTATATAATAAATAATATTCTATGTAAATAAATATTAAAATGATCATACATAATAAATATAACAAATTTATATATATATATATATATATATATATATATATATATATATATATATATATATATATATATATATATATATATATATATATATATATGTGTGTGTGTGTGTACACACACACACACACACTCACTTTAAACCATATTTAACTATTTATGAATAATAACAATGTTTTTACATTAAAATAATGTGTATGAGAGGATTTGATTGTCAAGAAAATGAATGGCCGGCATGAAGCCAAGTCTATTGAAGGAATTTGACCGGCCACACACACACATACACTAATTAGTGGTGACCTTCAGGCACAGACTTATGTAAGTAATTACTGTGAAGGTATGAGGTCCTGCATTAGTTCAGGAAGCATATTTTATGAATCATACTAAGGCGAGTCTTTAGCTTATGAATATTAATCGCGTACTCTGACGTTGGACGTGGCCGCTAGGACAGCTGGCGAATGAACGAATCCTACTATGACGAAGGCAGGTCTAATGAATATTAATGACTTTACGTGCTAAAAGGTTAAAAGGAACGTCAGTTTGACCTCATTAATATTCATATAGGAAGCCTTCGCCATAGTGCGATTGGTCAGTTGGTCGCCGCTTTGCGAGTTCAGCGCTGTCTGCTAAAGTACCGGGCGGGATTTCCGCAATACGTTCAGTATGGCGAAGACCTACGATTATTTGTTTAAACTGCTGTTAATCGGGGATTCCGGAGTCGGGAAGACCTGTGTGCTGTTCAGATTCTCAGAGGATGCCTTTAACTCGACATTTATCTCGACGATAGGTATTTATGTCTTCGTTTTAAAGCTTTTGGGCTCGGATTGTTTATGAAACGTCAGGCTGTGCTAACGGCTAAGCTAATGGACAAGTAACTGTTCTGCTAGCTTTGTTTGAGTTTACAGTTTGGTTTTGGTTGTCAACTTTGACAGTTCTGCATACATTTTGTTCCTTGATTTATCATCGTATATGACCGCAAAGTGTGTGTTTGATGGACGTTATTGTTTTGGTTGTTAGCATCTAACTAGCTTCTCTGACAGAATGACTGACTCAAAATGACTGTTTATTACTATTTAGAAAGCTTAAAAGTACCAGATATCTATATTTATTTCTTAAACACTCAATTAAAATATATTTAATTGGATGCGTGTTAATCAGATGTCACCTGTTATACACACACCAGACGTCTCAATATATTGCCATACATAAGTATATTAAAGATAAAATTGAAACGTGTTTGGCATAACTTTTGAAAGAATTAACGTCAATATGTTTATGAAAATAACTGATAGCCATTTTACATGAAACATTTATTTTGTAAAATACATAACTTGAAACTTACTTATTGATAAATAACTTACCAAAAGAGTGAGTAATGATAATACATTTAAATATATTACCGACAGAATGAAAATATAAGTAAATTGGTACTTATGAAGGACTCCTGCAAACTCTGAAGGCTGAAAATTACAATCAATGAACATTTTTGTCAAAATATGATCTTACTTAGTCTTTAATATGTCAAATTATTCTTATGCCTGACTTTTTTGTTGTTATTTAAGCTATTGGTATATTGAATGACCATTAGGTTTAAGTCTTCTAGAAACTGTAGAGATGTATGATGGTAGTAGTTATTACTGAGAACAAAAAAATATACAGTGCTCAGCATATATAAGTACACCTAGGGCTGCTCGATTTTGGGAAAAATCATAATCACGATTATTTTGGTCATAATTGTAATCACGATTATTTAAAACGATTACTGTTGAAGTCAAAATTATTAGCACTCCTGAGAAAATGTTTTTTTTTAAATAAATATTTCCCAAATGATGTTTAACAGAGCAAGGAATTTTAACAGTATGTCCTATAATATTTTTCTTCTAGGCTTATTTGTTTTATTTTAGCTAGAATAAAAGCAGGTTTAAATATTTTGAATATTTTTGGTCAATATTATTACCCCCTTGAGCAATATATTTTTTGATTCTATGCAGAAGAATCTACTGTTATACAATGACCTGCTTAATTACCCTAATTAAGCCTTTGAATTGCACTTTAATCTGAATGCTTGTATTTAAAAAAATATCTAGAAAAATGTTATGTACTGTCATCATAGCAAAGATAAAAGAAATCAGTAATCAGTAGGGATGTAACGGTATCAGAATTTCACGGTACGGTAATACCTCGGTATGAATGTCACGGTACGGTATTTATTGAATCATTTACAGGAAAAAAAAACCTTTTGAAAATACTCCAAAAAAGTGCCAAAAGTGTCAATGACATACAAATTATCCATCTATCTATTAGCTTTGAAACAGGAACTTCAATTTTAATAACAAAAAATTATTAAACCATGTAAAAAAAATAAAGTTTCAATTTAGTATTGTTGAAAACTCATCACATTCAACATTTAATCACTCACTTAGATAGAGATGGGTTTAAAGGAAAATTATCATATAACTATAATCTGGTAAAAGCTGGTATCTCTGGGTATTTACAATGTCCCCTGCAACAGAAAAAAACCCTCTCATTTGGGACTGAGGTTTCTGGGACAAGAGAGATATGACTTGGTCCATGTTGACAGCAGTGGGGTAACGTTGTACATTGTCTTTCCCCCACTTGAGAAGACGAACCATGAGTGAGATAGAGGTCTCTTTGCGGTACAAGTCAATGTCTGCATCAATCTGAACAGTGTGCTGTGTTTCTGCAGTCCCCATGACTGTTATTAGTCGTATTCCCCAACTTGCAGGTATGTGCACACATAGGGCTCAACCTGTGCAGTGCACATGCCCTTTTTAGTCTTGGATTGAAAATGCCCTTCCAAAACGATCAAAAGTGCCCCCGCGACGCGACACAACCTCCGTCCAGTCCAGCCCTTCAGTCGGCGCGCGACAACACATCTCTTGAGTATGCGCGCTCAACCCCCCCTCGGCGCTTTACAATACGCGCGCCACAACACAGCTGATCAGAACGCGCGCGACAGCACCGCTATTCAGCACGCGCGCGGCGACAACACCCGCTTTAGGTTCGATCATTTCCATCTTTTTTTCATCTCCGCTACTAGCAGCACACTCCATTTCCGCATTACTGGATCTGTAGCGACAACAGACCGCAAAGGATTATGGCCACGCCGGGGCTGATGGGAAATGAAGTTTCAGCTACCTCCCGTTCGCTTCATTCGCCTGAGCAAATTTTCTCAGAAGACCTATAGTTTTACCGAGTCATGCGACTTCGGTAATATCGAAAAAATTTTATATTGCGGTATGACGGTATTTACAACACCGTTACATCCCTAGTAATCAGAAATGAGATGTCAAAGCTATTATGTTCAGAAATAAGTAAAAAAAAAAACTTTTTTCCATTAACAGAAATTGGGCAGGAAAAGGATTGCTAATATTCTGGAGGGCTAATAATTCTGACTTTAATGTATGCATACAGTTGTTTTCCTCCCTGCAAGGGAAAGATAAATAAATACAATAGAATAAAAATATGAAACAAACTGCTTTAAGCATCTTCACTGTAAGAATAAAACTTTGGCTACAAAAGTCCTTCAGTCAAGAGCAGAGGGATTTTCTCGTTTTATTTGATTAATGATAAAAACAACATCACGCGCTTGTCTCTTTAATGGTTTCTCTTTCACGTGTCTTTTGATCCTCAACTCGTAACTCGTAACGTGTTTTGACACCTATTTGACCATTAAAGCGCTCACATCAAGATGACTTTAGATGTCTTTAGAGGTGTGCGATGCGGCGCCAGGCGCGAGTATAATTCCAGCTTCAGTGTGAGAATGAGACCGAATGCTGACCAGCCGCATACTTCTGGCTGTCTGCGCGTGCCGCACACACAAGCACGCGGTTTCACGCTTTTAGGAGCAACAGCTGGAAAGGGGGCGGTATATGATGCAATAATCGTTTATCTCGATTAATGCTTTTTCATAATCATTTGAAGCCAAAATCGAAATCGGATTTTCGATTAATTGCACCGCCCTAAGTACACCCCTTACAAATTTCTCTTTTAAATTTATATTTTTAATAGGAAGCTATACAGTTTTATATTTGTACATATACTTTAGATTAGTCAGTACTGAAGCCAAATCTGGAGCTTATCTAACAAAATAACTTACGATAAAAGTCCAAAAACTAGTACAGCCAAATTTTATAGAAAAATGTTAAATACAAATTTAAAAAAGAGAAAAAATCTAGAGAAGCCATTTAGTTGAAATTTTGTGGTTTTCTTTTTGCAATATTTAGCTTGAATTTAATTGTATTAGCTTTCAATTTCTAAATACGTTTAGTGACTAAAATATTATCTGATTGAAGCAGTAGTGAAGCTGTGACGCATTACCTGATAGATTCAAAAAGACAGAAGAGTCGTTAGATAGAGGCCAGATTAATTGAATATTAACTTTAACAGCTATAGTGAAACGCGATCCAGCGGTACATCCTTAAGAAACTGATGTGTACTGCTCTCTGTGGTTTTGTTCTCAAAGCACCCGCTGACTGCTGGAGCTCAGATGATGCATCGCAAGACAGAGTGTGTTTGTGTGTGTGTGTGTGTGTTTGTTTGTTTGTGTGTGTGTGTGTGTGTGTGTGTGTGTGTGTGTGTGTGTGTTAGGGTTGTAACAATATACCCGTATGACGGTCTACCACGATTTGAACGTGCACGATTATCATACCATGAACAATTGCATATCAACGGTTTTAAGTTTTAACCCTTAAAGACCGAGACAGCCGCCCGCGGCTAAAAATAAGTATTGCTCTTAAATGTTTAATAACTTTTGATCCGCTGATCCGATTTATACAATTCAAAGATTGGCATAAAGAAGAGAATCTCAGCTTTCCAGTGCTGTATCACATAACATTCGCGGACTACGTCAGTGCGGTTACGTCATCAAAATTTGACAACGCTGATTTGACAAAGAAACGCTCGTCACTGTGTCTCCGGACAAACCAGACATGATACATTGATGCATTGTCCCTCCTCCATGCCCAGATTGGTTTAAACTCGCTATATCACAACCAATAAGCATAGGTTTCGCTTTTGTTTGTGGACCAACAATGAGCTTTTTGAACAACACGGAATGAGAGATAGGCATACATTTATGCGCGGCTAAATAAAACGCAAAAAAAAGATGAAATAATTCTCATACTAAGTACTTTTGCATGCACAGCAGCACAGAAACATGACAAAACAGTGACACAGCAAAGACGAACTGCTGCTCTTGCTGTTTTCAAAAGACGCAAATGAAGGTGCAGCTGTTTGTCTGCATTGCAGACAACCATATCCAAATCCATATCCACAGACAACCATATCCATGCTGGCACATAAAACCTAAGGATGATTCATATTGAATCTAGTTTCGTTATGTAACTATTTATAGTATAGTAAATATTTATATCTATTTTTTACTGAGGATTTGCACCATGTTTATTTGGACTTTGACACATTATTTATTATTTTATTATGTTTTTATTTGTTCATTGTACAAGTGGACACATTCTCTCACCTCAGCGGTCAAGATTAAGTCCTGAAAATCTCAACATGCTTACATTTCTTCATCACAACCTAGACTAAATAAAACAACGCTTTAAATACATGTTTACAGCCATAAACTTGGTATTGCACTTTTGGTCTCCCATTTATCCTGCTTATAAGGAAGGACAGTTTAAGTTTATTTTTGTCTAATCTTAAAAGACCCTGCTTGTTTATTCCTTCTAATTTAATTTATTAAAATGGGAAATTTTTCAGTTTATTTTTATAAAAGACTTCTATAGTTCTGTTAAAATGGTTCTTTCAAAAGTTTGTTGAAATAAAACCTGTTCAGTCAGAAAACGTGTTCTTATTCTTTTCAGGGTCTTTGCTATGAGAATTACTATTTAATACCGTATACCGCGAAATCGTCAAACCGTGGTATTGTTTTAGACGATTATCATACCGTAAAAAATTCATACCGTTACAACCCTAGTGTGTGTGTGTGTGTGTATGTGTGTGTGTTTGTGTGGTCACGTGATGTGCGTTTTCAGTGGTATAGTTTGGAAGGTGGGGTTTTCAGAAATGCCAGTGTGGACGTGGATCGTTTTCATTCTAATATGCCAATTTAAAACTATGATGTATTAGTGTAAATGGGGCCATGTGTATTTTTCGCAAGCAGTTTACTGCTGCGACAGGAGCGGGGCGGAGGATGGCAATGCCGGCTCAGCATTGTGATGTCTATTGATCAACGGCAATAGACTATAGCATCGTTTATCGACCCAACTCTAATTGATTCGTGTTTGAAATGACACTACGACGCCACCTCATGTACTGTGTGCCTAAGGGGTAAATGGTAGCAGTGCAAGGCTGATCAATTAGTTCAGATTAGTATCAATACTTGGCTACATCAATAATGTATCGTGGGTGGAATTATCACAATAAACCAGCATTGATATTTTGTCCTGGCCCTATTATTGAATAATCAAATGTAATGTAAAATAACACTGCTTTCTTCATTGCTGATCAGCTATAATAATCCCAACTCCACATTGCTGAAAACAATGAAACAATGCTGAAACAATATGTTGTGCATCCCTAATTCTATTACTCTCTTAAGATCATAACTAAACGCTCTAATGCAGGGCTCGAAATTAACTTTTTTACTTGGTAGCACTGGTGCTCCCAACTTCAAATATTTAGGAGCACCAAAATAAATTTAGGAGCACCAGAAAAAATTTAAGAGCATCCACCAAAAATGATTGAGCACCGCTGCAAATTGCTTTTTAAGGGATTTATTGTATTTTAAAACAACATCAATAGGACTAACAAAACCAGAAAAAACTATCTAACTAATGCTGCGAAGACATTGATATTTGTGTGCAATAATTCCAAAATGAATGTCTAATAATTATAGAATATTAATGATGATGAAAATGACAATAATAGTAAAAATGAATTACATTTCTCATTATGATACTGCCTTGAATGTGCATGAATGTAGGTTATCTGTTATAAAAAAGTCTGTTACTTTATGAAAAATAATTGTATAGTTTGCATCAAACAAAAATGAAGCATTGCAGTAAGAAATATTGATTTTGTGCTGCTGTTTTTATATGCATGTCAATTTAATAAATAATATTTCTGCTACAAAACAAACAAAAGATTATAATAAATCATTCAATTCAATGATGAAAGCTGCAAAGCAGTCATAATAAAAAATCATAAATAAAAAAATAATATACACCTCAAAAAAGAATAGACAAAAGAAAGAAAGTAAGTAAGTCTCACTTCTATCACTCTTTAAAAGTTTTGGTTTCAGTTTGTGTCAATTTAAAGGTTCAGTCTGAGATGATCTTCGTTTTTCTCTGTTAGTGGAAAAGCTGGCGAGTCAGTCGACCCAATTTATGAGCAGGCAGAGCAGGATTCTTGCGCTAACCACCGGCGGAATACCGCTGTTTGTTATGAGACGCAGTTTCAGTGTAAACTTAGTAAAGGCGAGCTTCTTTGGCGATGATATGTACAGTATTAGATTTGACTTTTAGCGGACATTTGCGCTGAACACGCAGTGAATGCAACGCATGGAGATTCGGGCGCCTTCTCCATGAAGCGCGTACTCGATTGATCTCAGCTGGTGGATCATTATTCACCACGTGACGTGTCATGATCGCTCTCATCTGCACCTCAATTTTAGGTGGGGTTTGCAAACCTGTGTGCTTTAAGTTTTTACTCTTCTGCCGTTTGCATTTCCCGTGGTCATAAAAGCTCCTTCCCTGTCATCTGACAGCGGAATACCGTGAGTGAATGACAGCTAATATGAACCAATATAGCGGCAGGGAAGAGCGATTCAGCACGTTTTTACAAAAAATCAAAACAGGTCGCACTACAACCATTATCTGCAGTCGCACTAATGCTCCCAGATATATTATGAGGTCGCATAGATAAATTTTCGGGCGCATATGCGACCAAAATGGTCGCAATTTCGAGCCCTGTAATGTTACAAAATCAATCAGTAATTTGAATTAAAATATATATATATCTTTAACCATTCATGCTTATGCTTTTATTTATTGTAGGTGATATTAAATGTCTAGTTTGATGCATGAGTTCTTGTACATAAAATATATAAATATATCAAATGTTGTGCATTCTGTAGACATCTATTATGTGCATTGGTTTTAATACCTAAATATAGTTATATGATATACATGATGTTTGAAAGAGACACTTTTGGCCTATGACGATTGCGTGTTTTCTCCTGCAGGTATCGATTTCAAGATCAGGACAATAGAACTAGATGGCAAGAAGATAAAGTTACAGATATGGTGAGTTTCTAGACTTCTTTCCTCCAACAAGTAGTTGAACATTAGCAGATTGCTGGAATGGCACGGCTAAATTCGTTTGTGGAGGAATTCCTGAAGGAGCCACTGTTTGACTCGTGAAACCATGGCTGGGTTAATTTCTCCTTTATTTTTAATGGTTCTCTTTTATGTTTGCTCTAGTTAGGAGAATGTCGTTTTACGCTTCGCCAGATCTGCAAACCACATTTCAGCTTACAATTGTAATGCAATGCAGTATGATTTGCAATGCTGAAATTGCTATATTTACAGGGACACGGCAGGACAGGAACGATTTCGGACGATCACGACAGCATATTACAGAGGTGCAATGGTAAGACAATGCTCAAATACACTCAATAACAGGACTTTTGCTGCTTGTTTGAGCTACTTATTTAAAATGAGTTTAAACAACACAATTCTTAAGGTTTTTTTGGGACAACTTAATTGTTTTATGTTTAATCCACTGCAAAAATAATTCAGTATCATAAGACAAGGGAAGGGTTGTGTTGTGCAGTTTTTAAAGTGAATGTCAGTTTATGCTATTAAATTAGTTTTGCTAGTTTGCTGTTGTCTTTAAAATAGCTTAGTGTGCACAATTGTTATGAGTTTTATCTGGTTTTAGGGTATTATGCTGGTTTATGATATCACCAATGAGAAGTCATTTGACAACATCAAAAACTGGATCCGAAACATAGAGGAGGTGAGTGTCTCAGTGCCTGATTTGTCTTCCTTTAACAGATCACTTCAGGTTTCGTGTCTTCTTTTGTGTTTCCTTAATATGATACATCTTTAGATCTTAGCTGCATCTTGTTTTTGTGATGCCGTTTTTACTGCAAAATATTAGAAAGTAAAAATTTGCATTGCAAAATGTGTTCTATGGGCAAGTTTTTTTTTTTTTTTTGGAGAAAGCATGAACTGATAAAATAGAAAGTTTTGGGTCAATAATGTCTTTCTAATGGATGTGTTTAACATTTATTTTTAAAATGCAAAATACTTCTTGTAAAAAAAAAAAAAAAAAATATATATATATATATATATATATATATATATATATATATATATATATATATATATATATATATATATATATATACAGTTGAAGTCAGAATTATTAGCCCCCTTCGATTTTTTTTCTTCTTTTTTAAATATTTCCCAAATGGTGTTCAACAGAGCAAGGACATTTTTACAGTATGTCTGATAATATTTTTTCTTCTGGAGAAAGTCTGATTTGTTTTATTTCAGCTAGGATAAAAGCAGTTTTTAATTTTTTATGAACCATTTTAGGGACAAAATTATTAGCCCCTTTAAGCTATATTTTTTCTCGATAGTCTACAAAACAAACCACTGTTATACAATAACTTGCCTAATTCCCCTAACCTGCCTAGTTAACTTAATTAACCTAGTTAAGCCTTTAAATGTCACTTTAAGCTGTATAGAAGTGTCTTAAAAATATCATTTAAAATATTATTTACAGTCATCACGGCAAAGATAAAATAAATCAGTTGTTAGAAATGAGTTATTAAAATTATTATGTTTAGAAATGTGTTGAAAAAATTTTCTCTCCCTTAAACAGAAATTGGGGAAAAAATAAACAAGCGGTCTAATAATTTAACGGGGCTAATAATTCTGACTTCAACTGTGTGTATATATATGTGTGTGTGTGTGTGTGTGTGTGTGTGTGTGTGTGTGTGTGTGTGTGTGTGTGTGTGTGTGTGTGTGTGTGTGTGTGTGTGTGTGTGTGTGTGTGTGTGTGTGTGTGTGTGTGTGTGTGTGTGTGTGTGTGTGTGTGTGTGTGTGTGTGTGTGTGTGTGTGTGTGTGTGTGTGTGTGTGTGTGTGTGTGTGTATATATATATATATATATATATCACTAAATTTATGGTTCTGTTTTCTGTGGAGCAGCAAAACTTAGCATAATTAATAAAGATTTATTTAAACATTAAAGTTATCATGCAGTGCTTTAAAATGTGATCTTTTTTTTTTTTTTAGATGTTTAACATAATCTGTAATACAAGAGGGCGGGGCATAGAGTAGCTCCTTCCCTTTATAAAAAAATCAGCCAATAGTGTTTTGTTTTTATTTCAGCTCTGCCAGTGAGAGTGGTTAAGCTCAAGTGTATTAAATGAAAAGCAAATGAGAAGTGTCTTAAAGGATGCGGGGCATGTGAGAAACTGAAGTGAGGTGACGTCAAAATAAAAAAAAAACAGCAGAAGTTGTTGTGACAAACTGCAAGCTTTGCATGTTTATATCAGGTTTACATTTTCTATATGCGAATATTGTCACTGTTTTGAAGCACACTAGCTTATAGATATTCTTGAAACTAACATGCTGATACTAACATCTAAAAAAACCTTATTTCAATTTCATAGGACCTTTAAATATAAATATTTAGAGAAATTCTCTACAGTTGAACTCGCTAGCTGAGCACACCGACTCTTGCCTGTAAAAGTAGTGCTACATGATGTTGTTTATAAACGGTTTAAGTTAGGTTTTCAGTTGATAAACCAATTGAGGGATTGCGTGAGATAGGAAATGTTCATTTTTGTTTATATTCTCCTGTAACTAAGCAAAAATATGAAGAACAATTATATTCACTTGCTGCTGTTTGACCTATGGTGACTGCTTGTGCAGCGATCTGAGCTTAATCAAAGAGTGAAAAACAGCATTTATTGTTGGAATTCCTTGATAAATTGGACAATTTCAAAGATGAAATGCTGTTTGTTAAAATAGGAGAACACAAAGGTTCTTGTGATTATTGAACAGATGTGCCATAGACCATTTTGAGGGATGTAAACAAAAACAATGGTCCCATCATATGTCCTATATATATATATATATATATATATATATATATATATATATATATATATATATATATATATATATATATGTATGTATGTATGTATGTATGTGTATATATATATATATATATACATATACATATACATATATATATATATATATATATATATATATATATATCTATCTTTGAATAGGAGTTTAATGGTTTCACAAAATTGTCATGGTTTTTATTGTAAAATAAAATCTCCTATTGCAACACACAGAAATCCCATATATCTGCATAAAATACATTGCCTTATAAGCTACCATTTACAGTATTAAAGTTATTCTTTAATCCATGTGATCAAAATGCTGAAAGGAGGCAGCAGATTGATCTTATTAATAGATGCATCATTTTAATTAAAGATGTGTAATTTCGTGAAATGTATTTTTGGTTGCTGTCTTCCAATGTGTACTTCCACTTTATACTCAGACCTAACTGACTGTTAAATATGGCTATTCATTGTTGCATGCATTCAGTTTGTGTTCCAGTGCAAGAACGTGTTTGTGTGTATGTATGTATGTATATGTATATATATATATATATATATATATATATATAAACAAAATCAGCATTTATGAGCTGAGAGAGAAATGCACGGGTATTGGGTTTCTGTTGTGTCTTGCTCTGGAATCTTAAACTATTTAATCTTGAATCTTGCACGTTTGCAGCATTAATTGTGAAAGATCAACAAATTGAAACTGTGATGGACAGTTATGTAGTAAAACACCACCAAGCTGCTTCAGAGGCTGTTTACATGTAGCGTCTTTTGCACTAGGGTTGGGCATCTAAGCTATAATGCCGATCCGATACGCATCTCGATACAAAGAATACGATCCGTATATTAGCGATACATTTGTGACATATTGCGATGCAACACGATACGATTCACACCCATATCACGATACAATGCGATATTTCAGCACTAACTAATTAGATCAAGTTTATGAGATTATGTGAAAGAGGATGCTGTGCCATTGAATGAGTTTGATTATTTATTAACCAAGCAAAACCAAGACTTTTTTTACAAACTGGCTTTTCTTTCAGAGCCAGAGTGTCAGTTTACTGTAGAGGGCCATTTTAGAACCTATAGCACATATTATTTAAGGATTTTCAAGATAAACAGAATGTATAAGTGCAATATATATTAAAAATATATATTTGCACTCTTTCAACATAAAGGTTTACCACTGCACAACAAGAATTGTGATATAACTTTTCAACTATGAAAACAAGTTTTACAAAAATATATTGTGCCACTGAATATTCAAAACTTAAGGTCGTGAACTAACAGTGTTATGCTGCTTTGAAACATCACTGTCACTGTAAACAACAGGCTAATAAAAATATAAATAAATAAAAATTAACAGGAGGAGGTGTTTAAAACCTTCGTTCTCCGTGACACTAGGCTGAAAATCTTTGCAGATGAACAATGCAATAGCATTCGTTATTGCCGTAGAGCGCACAAAACTGTTGCGCATGGAGAAAACTTGCAATGCTTTTCTCACCACTTTTGGAGCTGGTAGCTACAGTTGAAGCAGAGCAGGAAGCAGGGGATGCAGGGACACTGGAAGATGCTTCCACAACAACACCGTGGCGCCCCTTCAAGTGAGATTTCAGATTAGTCGTACTGCCCGTGTATTTTACAGATGCGCGGCACATTTTGCAAATTGCATAATTGTCCTAAAAAGTCGTCAATCTTTTTTGCAAAATCCATAATGTTGCCAAACTTAGATTTAAAACTCAGTGAGGAATAAAATGTTTGTTTTGCTTCTCGCGCTTTCTGAGGGCGCTCCACTAGCTTCATCCGCACACCTGATACACTGAGTTGTAGTGTAAGTCTACACATCCGCAAGTCCGTTGCTAAGGCATACTTTATGTAGGTCGATTAAATAATGCGCCAAAACAGGTTGACAACACTTGTTAATAAATAAAAAATACATTCTATATTAAAAATATAAGTTGTATCTTGGAAAAACCAATGCATCTCGCAAAAACCGATGCATCTCGATTTGCTTCCAAAATTTCATTCGTCCTCTGCTGCTCTACCGATGCACTCGCATCGTGCACGCGCATGACCGCGTATCGATACATATCGATTAATCTTCCCATCCCTATTTTGCACACATATGTTTCAAGAGAACAGAACAGTTTGGCTTTTTTTTTAATGAACCGTCCCGACCCTATTTTTGACCCATACAATGCGTTTTTGGCCATTACCAAAATATATCTGTGCAACACAAGACTGGTTTTGTGGTCCAGGGTCACAAATAGTGTCATGTTAAAATAGTTTTTGCACACTTATGCATGTGTTGTATTATGTTTCATTATCTGCTTTATCCCAAACTATTTGTTGCCCAATTACTACATCATTTAGACCAGTCCATTTGGAACTTGTTTGCTAGACAATATTGTATGAATATTTAACATCAATGTTCTTCTTTGTTTTTGTTTTTTTTCCTTCATCAACATAGCATGCATCAGCTGATGTGGAAAAGATGATTTTGGGGAACAAATGTGACATTAATGAGAAGAGGCAGGTGTCTAAAGACAGAGGCGAGAAGGTGAGTAGACCCAGTTTCTTTACCAAACTGATCATTCATTCATTTTCCTTCGGCTTAGGCCCAATCCCAATTCTATTTTTGTACCCCTTCCCCTTAGCCCTTGCAATCGAGGGTTAAGGGGATGGGCTTCAAAATTTACCCCTAAGAATTGGGACAGCACTACATCACCTACACACGTCATCATATGTCCTCGCGATCTCTTGCTTCACATGAGTTAAGATGATGACGACTACTGTAGTGATTCCAGTTGTGTTATTTTTTGGTATTTATCTTCAGAAAATCACTGAAGCCATGTATTATGTTATCTAGGGCTGCTCGATTTTGGGAAAAATTATAATTACAAATATTTTGGTCATAATTGTAATCACGATTATTCCAAACTATTATTAGTTGAAGTCAAAATTATTAGCACTCCTGAAATTTTTTTTTTTTAAAAATAAATATTTCCCAAATAAATGTTTAACAGAGCAAGGAATTTTCACCGTATTTCCTCTAATATATTTCTTCTGGAGAGAGGCTTATTTGTTTTGTTTTGGCTAGAATAAGAGCAGGGGTCCGTTCTTCGTACGTGGATTACTTAGCTGGATTTGGATATTGACGATTTGACACGATCCAGGATCGTTTCGTTCTTCAAAGCTGATCCGAGAGTTGTTGTCATAGCAACAGTTCTGCTAGGTCAAACCTTATCGGGAGCAGGTTCAATTCATATAAACAGGATTAGATCGACTCAGTTCAAGCAAAGATAATACAGAGAGTGTGTACCGAATTCTGATATTTTCTTACAGTAGTAGTTATATACACTTGGGAAAATGGTACATATTTTTTAACTATATATATATATAAAGTTATAGTCATGAATAAAATAAACTAAGTTATACATATTAATAAAACGTATGCAATCTGCACCCTCGAAATGAAACTACAAAGACTGCCACCTGGTGGTGCAAAGAGAAAACTTATTGATATGAACTTTTTAGATCGCTTTAGTACAAATTGTGTATAATAGAAATGCACAATATGTGACTTTTTTTTAAAAGCAATAATACATTTATGCTGACATAAACATGTTTTGACAGTTAATATGCCGGTGATTTGATGCTTCACAAAAGTTGCAGACGCCTTTACCAATATCAAAATGCTTTTGTAAACAACCAGTTATTCTTTACACCGATTAAAAAACGGCTATAATAAAGAAAATCTTCTCTAAATGTAGAACTAAATACACTGATTTGCATTGAAATACATGATGAATACTCTTGACACATGAAAGTGTGAAGCCTGCAGCTCACAACAAATGTGGAAGGTTATTGCGTGTCATATTTAACAAGCCGTTTACTGCTAATTTGATGTAATTTTGCTCACATGGATAATTGAATATTAATCAGATGATGTCATTACGCTGCTGTGACGTCAGCCAATCGCTGCATTGCTGATCATGATTTCGAGGATCGATAGATCAGTCCTTCACAACACGCGCAGCGATCTCAGATCAGTTTATCCAGACATTCTACTCTGATTCGCGAACTTGTTTGAAGAACCAAATTAGCGAGAGATCAGTTATTAAGATTAAAAGATCCGGGATCTGCCAAATAATCTTAGATCATTTAAGCGAGGTACGAAGAACGGACCCCTGGTTTAAATATTTTGAAACCCATTTTAAGGTCAATATTATAAACCCCTTTAGGCAATATATGTTTTGATTGTCTGCAGAAGAAACTACTGTTATAAAATGACATATATAATCATATGTCCTCTCGATCTCTTGCTTCACATGAGTTAAGATGATGACGACTACTGTAGTGATTCCAGTTGTGTTATTTTTTGGTATTTATCTTCAGAAAATCACTGAAGCCATGTATTATGTTATCTAGGGCTGCTCGATTTTGGGAAAAATTATAATCACAAATATTTTGGTCATAATTGTAATCACGATTATTCCAAACTATTATTAGTTGAAGTCAAAATTATTAGCACTCCTGAAATTTTTTTTTTTTTTAAATAAATATTTCCCAAATAAATGTTTAACAGAGCAAGGAATTTTCACCGTATTTCCTCTAATATATTTCTTCTGGAGAGAGGCTTATTTGTTTTGTTTTGGCTAGAATAAGAGCAGGGGTCCGTTCTTCGTACGTGGATTACTCAGTTAGCTGGATTTGGATATTGACGATTTGACACGATCCAGGATCGTTTCGTTCTTCAAAGCTGATCCGAGAGTTGTTGTCATAGCAACAGTTCTGCTAGGTCAAACCTGATCGGGAGCAGGTTCAATTCATATAAACAGGATTAGATCGACTTAGTTCAAGCAAAGATAATACAGAAAGTATGTTCCGAATTCTGATATTTTCTTACAGTAGTAGTTATATACACTTGGTAAAATGGCACATATTTTTTAACTAATATATATATATATATATATAAAGTTATAGTCATTAATAAAATAAATAAAGTTATACATATTAATAAAACGTATGCAATCTGCACCCTCGAAATGAAACTACAAAGACTGCCACCTGGTGGTGCAAAGAGAAAACTGATTGATATGAACTTTTTAGATCGCTTTAGTACAAATTGTGTATAATAGAAATGTACAATATGTGACTTTTTTTTAAAAGCAATAATACATTTATGCAGTCATAAACATGTTTTGACAGTTAATATGCCGGTGATTTGATGCTTCACAAAAGTTGCAGACACCTTTACCAATATCAAAATGCTTTTGTAAACAACCAGTTATTCTTTACACCGATTAAAAAACGGCTACTATAATAAAGAAAATCTTTTCTAAATGTAGAACTAAATACACTGATTTGCATTGAAATACATGATGAATACTCTTGACACATGAAAGTGTAAAGCCTGCAGCTCACAACAAATGTGGAAGGTTATTGCGTGTCATATTTAACAAGCCGTTTACTGCTAATTTGATGTAATTTTTCTCACATGGATAATTGAATATTAATTAGATGATGTCATTACGCTGCTGTGACGTCAGCCAATCGCTGCATTGCTGATCATGATTTCGAGGATCGATAGATCTGTCCTTCACAACACACGCAGCGATCTCAGATCAGTTTATCCAGACATTCTAATCTGATTCGTGAACTTGTTTGAAGAACCAAATTAGCGACAGATCAGTTATCAAGATTAAAAGATCCGGGATCTGCCAAATAATCTTAGATCATTTAAGCGAGGTACGAAGAACGGACCCCTGGTTTAAATATTTTGAAACCCATTTTAAGGTCAATATTATAAACCCCTTTAGGCAATATATGTTTTGATTGTCTGCAGAAGAAACTACTGTTATATAATGACTTGCCTAATTACCCTAATTAAGCCTTTGAATCGCACTTTGAATTTGAACGTTTGTATTTAAAAGAATATTAAGTCTAATATTATGTACTGTCATCATAGCAAAGATAAAAGAAATCAGTTATTAGAAATGAGTTATTAAAACTATCATGTTTAGAAATGTGTTGAAATAAAAATCTTCTTTCCATTTAAACAGAAATTGGGGAGGAAAAGGGTTGCTAATATTCAGGAGGGCTAATAATTCTGGCTTCAACTGCATATATACAGTTATTCACAACTCTGCAAAGGAAAGAGAAATAAATACAATAGAATAAAAATATGAAACAAACTGTGCTTTAAGCATCTTCACTGCAAGAAAAACACTTTAACTACAAAAGTCCTTCAGTCAAGAGCAGTGAGGGATTTTCTCATTGTTTTATTAATAATGATAAAAACAGGCTGCAGTAAGAATTGCGCGCTGTTACTTTAAGGCTTTCGCTTTCACGTGTCTTTTGATCCGCAACTCGTTTGTTTATTACAGATTGAGGGTTAATATGAACAATCACTAAACACCTATTTGAACATTAAAGCGCTCACGTTAGTGACTTTAGATGTGTGTGCTCTCTGCTCATCACAATGTGCGAATGAGACCAAGTAAATAATGTAATAATCGTTTATCTCGATTAATGGTTTTTCATAATAAGCCAAAATCGAAATCGAATTTTAGATTAATTGCATAGCCCTAATGTTATCATAACGATCCAATGTGGTAATAAGATCATAACAGTACTGTGCATTTACACAGTGGCCATATTCATTATTGTAAACACACCAAAAACAACATTAACATTATAGCAGACACTGTAAAAAGCTCATTCCCAGCCACTAGACTTTTCTGACAGGGTATTCAAGTGTCATCAAGTGTCAGAATGTTGTGGGACTGCTGTAAAAAAAATCATTATTTGGGATTATACATCGCAAAATTTAGCGGTTTTTAGTTAAGTGTTTTTTTAAAGCATGACAGTAAAACATGAACGCAGATATGAATATATATAAATGTGTTTGTTTGTTGTAAAAATTCGTAATAATGACAAAAAATACTAATTAGTGGATCTCCTTACTTCCGGGTGCAGCTGGAGCTAGTGTATTCTGGGAAATTTTTCCCACCCCTTGGTTTCGAGTGTGGTCGTGAAAAGTCTTTGTTTGAAGGGGTGTATACTCCTTGCCCTTAGCCCTACGCCTTCAAGCTAAAGAGAAATGGGACACCTCTACCTCTTCACGGGCACTTGCAAAACGAGGGGTAAGGGGAAGGGGTAGAATTGGGATTGGGCCTTAGTCTCTGATTTATCTGTGGTCGCCACAGCGGAATGCACCGCTAACTATAACAGCATATGTTTTACTCAGCGGATGCCCTTCCAGCCACAACTTAGTACTGGGAAACACCCTTACACTCTTGTATTCACACACACATACACTACGGCCAAATTAGCTTATTCAATTCACCTGTAGCGCATGTGTTTGGACTGTGGGGGAAACCGGAGCACCCAGAGGAAACTTACACCAACACGGGGAGAACATGCAAACTCCACACAGAAATGCCCAGCCAGGACTCGAACCAGCAACTTTCTTGCTGTGAGGTGACGGTGCTAACCACTGAGCCACAGTGTTGCCCCCCACTAAACTGATCATCTTTTGAAAAAACAAACTGTTTGCTATAATAAAACACTTCAGTTTTGATTGCTACAGCAATAATGGCATCCTCCACAATAGTCATTTAGTTAATGATTTACCTGCATTCCCACAAATGACTATAAATACTAAATGTGTAATCATACATGTTGTATTTGCCTGTATCCATTCAGCTGGCGTTAGAGTACGGCATCAAGTTCATGGAGACAAGTGCAAAGGCTAATATCAACGTTGAGAATGTAAGTTTAAATGGCTTTTATGATAAATCCCCATCTTAGGTCCTTATCAGCTGATTGAGCTTTTAAAGGTCTAATCCAGACGTAATGGTATTTTCTGCTCTACACACAGGCTTTCTTAACACTCGCCAGAGACATAAAAGCAAAGATGGACACAAAATTGGTAAGACTTTCCCTTGTTGTTGTTTTTTTTTTGTGTGCATTTGATAATAGCACTTTCATTTATTAACTTAAGGGAACTTTTATATCATTCATTTTTTATGTCAGCATTTATTAACACTAGGGATGTAACGGTATCAGAATTTCACGGTACGATAATACCTCGGTATGAATGACACGGTACGGTATTTATTGAGTAATTTACAGGAAAAACAAAACTAATGAAAAGACTCGAAAAAAGTGGCAAAAGTGTTTATTTACCTTAGCACTGATCATATCAATGACATACAAATTAGCCGTCTATCTGTAAGTTTCGAAACAGGAACTTCAATTTTTCAATTTTAATAACAAAAAACTATTAAACCATGTAAATAAAATTAAGTTTTAATTTAGTATTGTTGAAAACTCATCACATTCAACATTTAATCACGCACTCACTTAGATAGAGATGGGTTTTTAAGGAAAATTATCATATAACTATAATCTGGTAAAAGCTGGGATCTCTGGGCATGTCCCCTGCAACAGAAAAAAACCCTCTCATTTGGGACTGAGGTTTCTGGGACAGAGAGATATGATTTAGCCAAGGTTGACAGCAGTGGGTAACGTTGTGCATTGTCTTTCCACCACTTGAGAGGACAAACCATGAGTGAGATAGAGGTCTCTTTGCGGTACAAGTCAATGTCTGCATCAATCTGAACAGTGTGCTGTGTTCTGCAGTCCCCATGACTGTTTTAGTCGTGTTCCCCGACTTAAATTTCACCACAGTCTGGCAGTGCCTGCATACTGTTTTTTTCTGTCACCTTTTCTCCTTTTCGTATCTTTTTAGAAAGAAACTGAAATGCTTCCACACATCCGATTTAAAACCCGCTTTAGGTTCGATCATCTCCAGCTCTTTTTCTTCCCTGTTACTAGCAACACACTTCATTTCCGCATTACTGGATCTGTAGTGACAACAGACCGCAAAGGATGATGGCCACGCCTAGGCTGATGGGAATTGTAGTTCCCGCTACCTCCCGTTCGCTTCACTCGCCTTAGCAAACTTTTCTCAGAAATATAGTTTTATTGAGTCATGCGCCTACGGTAATATTGAAAAAAATTACTATTGCGGTATGACTGTATTTACAATATTGTTACATCCCTAATTAACACATTTCAATTGTTGACATCAGTTAATGTGCTGTGAAATAACATTTAAAGTAAACATTTATTTTAACTTGTGTAAGGTCAAGATTTAAGTGATATGTAATGGATGGTTTATTGTTACTATGATGTACATCATGTCTTTGCACTAAAAAGTTCAATCTATTTTATTATATATATGTGTATATATATATATATATATATATATATATATGATTAACTTCTGCTAACAAAAAATACCTTATAAAGACTTATTTTGGATGCCTTTATGCCAATAAAATAAAGTGATTATAAGAAAAAATGTAAAAGTAATGACTTCATTATGGTTTGGTAATAATTGGTAAACAATAGGGCAATGATAATATTGGTAAATAAGCACATAATGGTGGACAAATAATACAAAATGGCCCAGTTTCACAAACGGCCTTAGTTAAATTAGGCTATTTAAGCCAAATTCATAGAAATGGCCTTAGAAAAATATTTTACTGGTGTGCACCTGGAGAAAAAAAATACAATGGTGTATTTTAAGACATCTCACTGCAAGTTATTTTGAGTTCAAACATGCATTTTAATCTTGACTAGCCTTAAACCTTGTTTGTGCAACCTGTGGAATGTTTATTAGAATCAATTGATCAGTCATTAGTAAACAGTCCAAAATAATTGGAAACAAGTCAATATTATTGGTAAATGCAAAAAACAATATGACATAATTGTTAACAGAATACATATTGTTCATAATTTATGACTGTTTTAATGAATTAAGCCTAAGCCTTCTCTTGCTTATCTCTCTTCATTGAATTTTAGTAATAGAGTGACATACAATTGGTAAATAAGCACAAAATGGTGGACGAATAATACATAATGTGTATTAGAATGAATAGGTCAGTCATTAGTAAACAAACAGTAATTACAAAGTAATTGCAAACAGGGGGGTATTCTAGTAAGCTGAGTTACTTACTTTCTGCTAATCCCTGGACTCTCGGTTGATTACCCAAAACCTGCTTACCCTCAGTATGTCGGTTCCAAAACAGCTGATAAGAGTTAGTCAAATCAACCTCCTGAAGAAAACCGCGGGTTAATGCACGCGCACGGTGCATACCTGCAGGCATTTTCAGTAGATCTCAGAATTCACGAGTCACCATAGAAAGTCACGGTGAGAAAAAAAGGCAATGCACTTTACAGAGGCGGAGTTGGTTGTTTTAAAGAGCCCATATTATACATGAAATAGGGTCATATCTTGGTTGTAAGGGTCTCCAACAACAGTTTAATATACATGCAAGGTCAAAAAACACTTTCATGGTCTTATAATCTGCATTTATTTTTACCTAATTATCCCAGTGACTCCCGTATGAATCGTCCAGTGATTCATTTGTTCCCAAACCCCTCCTTAGCGGGAAGCTAATCTGCGCTGATTGGACCGATGATAGTCTGTCGCGATTGGTCGACTGCCTTCAGTTAGAGAGGGAAATGGCCAATAGCTAATCAGCAATATAAAAAGTAATCACAGTTCATACACGCTCGATAGTGTAGGCGTGGATTTTAGCTGCCACACACACACACAAAAACACACACACCTCCGGACGACAACGCTCCCGCTTCCGCCTGCACCCGCCAGGTTTTAGCCTGAAAACCCGCTCCGTTTTCTGCCCACCGCGCCCGATCCCGCTAGAGCGGGGGAGAACACAACCAAAAATCACCCAGCTATACAGTCCAGACAGCCAAGATGTCTGTATAAACACACACACAGCACCAAGCACACAAAGCTCGCTCTCGCTCGCTCGCTCGCTCTCTCTCTCTCGCTCTCTCTCTCTCTCTCTCTCTCTCGCTCTCTCTCTCTCTCTCTCTCTCTCTCTCTCTCTCTCTCTCTCTCTCTCTCTCTCTCTCTCTCTCTCTCTCTCTCTCTCTCTCTCTCTCTCATACGCGCGCGTGCGCAATAACACACACACAAGCACCAAGCAGACTCTCTCTTTCTCATTCTCATAGCAATATCCGTGATATTGCTAGACAGCCCGCTCCCGTCCCAAATTAAACCCGTTACCGACCGCTCCCGCGATTTATTCGGAAATTTATTCCCGCGGCTGTCCCCGCGCCAGATTTCTGCAGAACTCTACCAAGGAGCTCCATGCACAAAGCAGCACGCGTCGCGTTTTTAACGTGACTTTGCACGCGATAAGAGAATATAGCCAGTTAACCTGATACAGTACACGCGGTTACAAGTAACAAATCACAACTAAATACATTTGCAAGCTAGAGTCAACGAGGCAACTTTAATCGCACGTACTTACACTTGAGAAATGAAGGAAGAAAAATCCATCCTGACGTCCATCAGTAAGTTACTCTTTACTGATCCTTCCTTTAACAAACTCAGATGAAGTATTCTTTGTAGCATGTAGTTTGCAGAAGTTTCCAGTAGTTTCCAACTGCTTGGCTATAATGCTGAGGTTTCATCTTTGGGTAGAGACTCAATATATCCATCTGCAGTGTGACTTCAATCGACCGGCATGTTTGTGTGCGTGTGTGTGTGTGTGTGTGTGTGTCTGGGTTTCTGCGTCAGAGGGCGGGGCCTCAGGTTTGAAATCTCCCGGGTTTGCGCGTGCACGTGAATAACTTGGTTTCGTTCGTACGTCATGGCGAAACACCTAATGACTCTGTATCAAGGCGACTCGTTTGAAGCACTATAGGTCGACTCTTTTATAGAGGAATCAACAGTTTTAAACACTGTACACTAACAGATTTAAGCCTTAGCTGGATACTTCACTTCACTTAGAGCTGTTACACACTACATGGAGGGGAATTTTCAAAAACCCATAATATGGGCTCTTTAATGCTGGCGTGCGAGGAATTAAGGCAGGTTAAAAAGAAAAAACAATAAACATCTGCATTAACGAAGCAAAGAAATTTAAGATAAAAATAGATAAGAACAGAAAAAAAAACTTGTAATATTTTAATGCTTTAATTCTTTTTAATTTGTAAAGATATTTGCGTATTGCTGTACATCCTGTGTGTATTAAGCAATGTGTAGGCATGGCGCACAACTAACGCGCTCTGCGCTGGACAATAGACCTGCTTTGATCTGGTCTATTGAACCGTCTGTAGCCTGGTTTATACTTTTGCGTCAAGTGACCGGCGTAACTCACGGCGTAGGCAACGCGCAGCTGTGCATTTATACTTCTGCGCGCTGTCTCTGTTGGTCTGCATTAACACTTCCGAAACGCTAGTTGGCAGTAAGGTGTAAATGTTCCTCTGAGTCGAGTTTTTTCGCTTCTGTTTTGCTTTTCCTGAACACTTCCTGGTTGTACAAGTGACTCAATCTCGCTCATTTTGCGGCAGGAACCGGCGGACGTGCAACAACTTTAACTTTGAGGTAAACACAAAACAAAACTTTCCATCCGGAGCTCCTTCACGGGACTTCACACTTGTAAACAATCGCTCGCGCCATTCGCGCGGCTCTCGGTCCCGCCCAGACTCGTCAGCGCTACCAAGCCGACCAATAACAGAGCTTGCGCTACGCGTCGTTGCGACGTGTAGTTACAATTTTTGAGAGGTGCATGTCAGCCACGCCGAAGGGCTATGCGTTAGCGCCGTAGCATACGCCGGCGTTTGACGCAGAAGTGTAAATCAGCCTTGTTTCAGTTCCTCAAAATAGCAAAATGAGGTTAATGAGGTTTTCATGAGGTTTTGTTTGTAATAACTAGAAAATGCCACTTTTTTTTAAAAACGTTTTTCTTAAAATTCTGGAATATTTTCTGTCCGTTTATATGTTTTTTTGGACCAAAAAATATTTTAGACTGGACCTTTAAATAAAACAGATTGAAGCTTCAGGTTCTCCTGTTTAAAATAATATGTGACACTTGAAGCTGAGTGCTAAAATAACAATAAAACTGCTTTTAAAAAAATAATAATAACATAGGCCCATTAGACGCACACAAAACACCTCTAGGTCTTTAAGGGTTAAGGGAATAATAATTGGTAAATAAGCACATGTATGAAAAATAATAGGTCAGTCATTAGTAAACAAACAGTCAAACATAATTGGAAGCAAGTCAGTATTAATTGGTAAATGCATCAAATTGTGTTAACAAAACAACATAATTGATAATATTCTTAATTAGTGACTATTTTGATGAATGAAGCCATTACTGTCTCTCATCTGTCTTCCTCGAATTGTAGTAGTAGGGCATTAATAACTGGTAAATAAGCACATAATGGTGAACAATAATACATAATGTGTATGAGAAATAATAGGCCAGTCATTAGTAAACAATCAGTCAAAAATAATCAATATTAATTGGTAAATTCATCAAATCATGTAAACAAAAGACATCATTGGTAACAGAGTACATGATGTTAGTAATTGATAACTGAATCCTTCATTGTTTCTTGCTTATCTCTGCCTTCCTTGTAGCAGATCAGAATCTTGATTGGTTTGTTTTCTCTTTGCTCACGCAGGAGGGAAACAATCCTCAGGGCAGCAACCACGGTGTGAAAATTACCACTGAACAGCCGAAAAAGAGCAGCTTCTTTCGCTGTGTGCTACTGTGAAGACCAAGGCCTTACTGTCCACCGTTCACGGGCTGGACATGACTGGACTATGCTCTCCCTCTTAGCACTCCTCCTTCCTCTTTTATCCCATCTCTCCTTCTCTGTCGCTCTACTTCCAGCCCTCGGGCAGTCAGAGTTGCTGGCTCCTCTTATCCTCTTCCATTGACAGATTAGTGATGCCGCTTCCTCTCGCTTATGACTCTTCCATGGCAAAAAAAACCGTGGTGGGAAAGTGTCAAGTCAAGGTTGACGAACTGGGTGCTGACGCATCTTTTGCAGTCGTTCCACCATCTAAAAGAGACCTCCATCTTTCTTTCATTCGCTCGTTTTTTGAGCACACAACTGCCAAAATACATCCATTCCTTCATGGCGACCTGGAAGTTGATGCGATTCTGGGTCTGACCGCTGAGCGTGAGCTGATATTGAGCCAATTTGAGAGTTACATGGGACGTTTTCTATCATTCCATTTTATTTTTCGGCCCTCATGCATTCTGTGACAATCACACAACCTTTTTGTAATTAGAGAAGTATTATAAGCCACCTATTAGATGCATCATTTCTTTCTTTCCTTTAAGTGCTGTTTTTGACCCCTTTTTATGGTCACTAATCTTTGACTTGTTACTCAAAATTGGCGCAGTTTCAGAGATAAAACAATGGTAGAATCAGCTTTTTTTAATTATTATTATTCATCAAGACATGTTAATCTCTATGGAGCCAGATCAGTCTCAAATGACACATTTACAAAATACAATTCATACAAGCACGGCACAATTTACAATTACAAAATACAATTTGTGAGTATAAAACAGTTCATAGTACACAAATACTATTCGGAAATTCAGAACACGCATTGTAAATATGCAAATCCATTTTGGAAATTCATAAATGCACAAGTCCAATTCATAAATTCGAAACGGGATTGGTAAATTTGCAAAGCAAATTCGTAAATTTATAAATGCGAAAGTCTAATTTGTAAATTCAAAACAGCATTCGTAGATGCGCAAATCCAATTCATAATTTCAAAACACGATTTGAAATTGCGCAAATCCAGTTTGTAAATTAAAAACATGATTTGTAAAAGCGCAACTCCTTTTTGTAAATTCAAAACACAATTCGTGAATTAGCAAATCCAGTTTGTAAACTAAAAACCTGATTTATAAATGCGCAAATCCAATTCATAAATTCAAAACACGATTCGTAAACGCGCAAATCCAATTTGTAAATTCAAAACAGGATTAGTAAATTTGCAAATCAAATTTATAAATGCGCAAGTCTTAATTCGTTAATTCAAAACGGCATTCGTAAATGCGCAGATTCAGTTAGTAAATTCAAAACAGGATTCGTAAATGTGCAAATGCAATTCATAAATTAAAATTTACACATCCAATGTGTAAATTCAAAACACAATTCGTAAATACACAAATCCAATTTAAAAATTCAAAACAGTTTGTAAATACACATCCAATTCGTAAATTTAAAGCACATTTCGTAAATGCGCAAATCCAATTTGTAAATTCAAACCAGGATTCATAAATACGCAAATCCAATTTGTAACTTCAAAACACATTTGTAAACGCGCAAATCCAGTTCGTAAATTCAAAATACAATTTGTAAATGGGCAAATCCTATTCGTAAATTCAAAAGACAATTTGTAAATGCACAAATCCAATTCGCAAGTTCAAAATACGATTCATAAATGCGCAAATACAAGTCGTAAATTTAAAACACAATTCGTAAATACGCAAATCTGATTCGTTAATATGCAAATCCAATTCGTAAATTCAAAACATAATTTGTAAATGCGCAAATCCAATTAATGAATTTAAAACACATTTTATTAATGCACAAATATAATTTCTAGTGAATTCACAAATTGTGTTGACAAATTGGATTTTGTGAATGTGAATTCTGCTGTGCATGTATGAGTTTTATTTTATAAAATTATTCTTTTTGAGACTGATCTGGCTCCATATTAACTGCCTCGGTTAAACTAACCAACCTCCCTTTTTTTAACATTCACGTCAAGCTATTTCCAAATAGTTCAGTCTTTTATGCAGTAGCACTTGCTTTCATTTTTAACATTCCTTCGCATTAATCCAAAACTCAGGCCTTGTTTTGAAAAATCCCAACATGAAAGCGTTCTTTAAAAGGGTTAGTTAACCAAAAAATGATAATTACCTCACCGTTTACTCTACATCATGTGGTTTTAGTTTTTTCTTTTTCAAAAGAAGAAACGAAATCTAATAGGTTTTGAACAATTGAGTAAATGATGACTGAATTTTCACTTTTGAGTGAATTTTCCTTAATTAAAAACATTTTAATTTAATCTACTAGAGTAAAATCGAAGGAAACTGACACATAGGCCCTATAAGGATGAGGAATTCCTGAGTTTGTAGTATTATTATCAAGTATGCGTAACCAAAAGCAATGACAAAGGGTGACTGTGTATCCGGAAAAGCAGAGCTATACTTGAGAAAGCACCTCCCGTACTGAAGTCCATGCACTTTATCAGTATCTTTTGTGTTGTGTGTGTGTGTATGTGTAGTTTGTGCCAAGTGATAGTTTTTGCATCATAAAGACAGGCATTTTACATGGAGTATGACCTGCCGGATATATGTTCATTTATAGATTAAGGCATTTTCATTCCCCCAAAAGGTTTAAGGAATATTTCCACGAAACAAAATCTGCTGGTAATAAGCCAAAGCTAGTTTAATGCCACAGCCTCCATCAGTTGTGTTGTGTTAATTTCTCATATTTATAATGTATTATGGACTGTACTGGTAATGCCTGAGTTATAGTCCACTAGTTTGGGTTGCAAAAACAAAACACCACTCGGATTTGGTTCATATGACTGGACTTAAATACTGTAATCCACAGTTCATGAGTTTCTGAATGTTGCGTTGTCATAAACACATACTTATTAATGCAACAAACGCAACGTTTGAGAGTTACATTGCACTTAAAGGCAAACTTTAGCAGTTTTATGATAATAGTTAAGATGGGAGATATGATTTCAGTCTTAATTTTGACGTTGTGTGATTTTTGTATGGTGCCAGATCAGTCTCCAAAATAATACATTTACAAAGTAAAATTCATACAAGCACAGCACAGTTCACATTTACAAAATCCAATTCATGAATTCAAAACATGATTTTTAAATACACAAATGCAATTCATTAATTAAAAATTACACATCCAATGTGTACATTCAAAACACAATTCGTAAACACTCAAATCCAATTCAAAACTTCAAAACACATCCAATTTGAAAATTCAAAACAGTTCGCAAATACACATCCAATTCGTAAATTCAAAGCACAGTTCGTAAATGCAAATATCCAATTCGTAAATTCTAAATAATTTCTGATGACACAAATCCACACAATTCAAAACACAATTCAAAATTGCACAAATCCAATTCGTAAATTCAAAACACGATTCGTGAATACAAAAATCCAATTCATAAATTCAAAGCAAAATTTGTAAATATGCAAATCTAATTCATAAATTCATGACAGTTCATAAAACAGAAATCCAATTCAAAAATTCAAAACATGATTCGTAAATATGCAAATCCAATTTATAAATTCAAAACAGTTCAAAAATATGCAAATCCAATTGGTAAATTCAAAACACAATTTATAAATACAAAAACCCAATTTCTAAATTTAAAAACACGATTTGTAAATTTGCAAATGTAATTCAGAAATTCAAAATACGGTTCGTGAATACTCTCATCCAATTTGTAAATTCCAAACACTGTTTGTAAATCCACAAATCAATTTTGTAAATTCAAAACAGGATTCGTAAATGCGCAAATCCAGTTTATGAATTTAAAACAATTTGTAAATATGCAAATCTAATTCATAAATTCAAAATGGTTCATAAATACACAAATCCAATTTGTAAATTCAAAACACAATTCGTAAATACAAAAATCGAATTCGTAAATTCAAAACACAATTAGTAAATACACAAATCCAATTCGTAAATTCAAAACACAATTCATAAATACAAAAATCCAATTCTTATATTTAAAACACAGTTAGTAAATACACAAATCTAATTCATAAATTCAAAACACGATTTGTAAATTTGCAAATCCAATTTATTTGGCGAAATATTTATGATTTTTACATGTGAATTCAGCAGTTGTGTGTTTACAAATTGGATTTTGTAAATGTATTATTTTTAGACTGATCTGGCTCCATAGTTTTGCCTTTGCGCTGCAGTAAATGTACGTTTTTGTAGTCATGTTGTGAATTGAAACATGATTCAGTGCAGTAGTTTTTACCAGCAATAGGTCAGGAAACTTGCAGCTTCAACGCCCTTTAACTTTTGAGTGAAAGAACAAAATCTCCATCCAAGAGTGTCCAAAGAGAAATCTCTGAAGAGCTGATTTGAACATTTTCAGGTCAAATTTCACCCTGAAACCTGATGTTATTTTGCTTTTTTTAATGTTCGCATGACAAGCACATTTTCACATTAATGCACATTTCACATTAAATCTGATCACTGTACTGCAGTTAAGTTAATGTATAAAAAATCTGTATTTTATTACTATTTTGCACATGCAATTTATTAAATGCATTGCAATTAATGTGAAGTTAAATGTCACGAAAATGCAAAATATACCAATTCTTCCATTTGATTCGGGGTGAAATGTGACCTAGATGTGTTTTATTTGAGATTAAAATAATAAGAAGCACAGTGTTTTTCCTGCGAGGCAGAGATGCGTAAAATATTCGTCTTGCTGCAATATGGCACATTCACTTTTCTTTTTCTAAGCTTAAACGTTGACCAACTTCCTGTTTGCACCTTGTTCTCTTTCCACCTCGAGGAGTGTTGTGTTGTCTCACATAAGGGGTTTTCATCTTCATCATCCGTACCCATAACTTTCCTTTTCTCTCCCTGTCCAAATGACGTCCCCGACTTGCCGTGTGTCTTAATAACTGATACTTGATCTTTCATCTTGGATCTATGCATCATGAAGGTGATACTGTTGACCTCCTGTGTGTTTTTGTCTGTTGTTATTTTTCTAGTCTGCTGTTTCAAACATGTTCGGCCGTAATAATGGACCTTAGATGTGATTTAATTTGGGTGTTTTAAAGTAGTGATAAACTGCAAAAAAAAAAAAAAGTATGACAGACAGCTGGCAAAACTATTTTTATTTGATTTGCAGAAACGAACCAAGTGGAAACGAACATTAGCAAAACAGGTACCGCTATCGTCTTAACCAGGGGTGTCCAAAATCAGTCCTGGAGGGCCGGCGTCCTGCTTATTTTAGTTCCAACCCCAGTTAAACATACTTGAATTAGCTAATCAAGCTCTTTCTAGGTATACTAAACTTGCAGGGCGGTGTGTTGAAGGAAGTTGGAGCTTAACTCTGCAGGACACCGGCCCTCCAGGACTGAGTTTGGACACCCCTGGTCTTAACAGACAGCTTTGCAGTAGTGTTCATTGAGCAGTGATGAGCTTCCTTCAGTCTCAGTTTAGTTTGTCTTTCTTGTATTTCTTTGATTTGAAACGACTGTCATCCATATCATCTACAGATTCTTTTATATGACCGTGTTTTCATTTTGTCGATCGTGAGGTAACCGGAGAGATCGGTAAATTACATTTTGGTAAAAAATAAAAAAATTATAAAAAACTGAAAGATACAATTGTAAATAACTCTAATAAGAGATCTACTTAAATTGTACTGT